AAGACTAAGTGTAGACTAAAGCATAGCTGATCTAGGCTGAACACGACAATGTGGGTCAACCATTGGTTTCCACGTTTTTTTCTTGGCTACAAAAAAGTACACCTTTAATTTCCAAATGAATAATTGACCTTTGTCGGGACCACGTACATTTTTAACTATGAACATTACAGGTAGTTGTGCCGAAGCACCATAGATAATCCTGTGGTTGACGTTCAGGACTTCGAATCCCCAAGGGCCCTAATAACGACACAGAGGCCCCGAGAAATGCTGTCTCGCCATCTTTAGACGAATTCACATGCTCGATTAGCATAGCGATCAAGTTTTGTCTCATCGTGGCCTTAATCCTGATCGCCATCACTAAAAACGCGTAAACAGCGAACTGTCAACCACTGAAAAGGTTATGCAACCCTCAGAGTCAAACCACCTAGCTGTAACGGAATAAAGCAAAGGCCAACAGATTAATTAAGTCTTCTAGACCCCCTCGACTTAAAAAAATACTTGTTTTGCATACCAATGACCCTAACCCGATTTAGCCGGAAGTAGGAAGAAGGGAAACGCGTATTATAGCACCACAGAGAAATGGGGAATAAACAGCGTCCACTAAAGTGCGGCCATGAACACAACCACGTACACCTGATATCTGACAAACTATTCCCCGCAATACCATCAAGCAATCAAATGTCAGTTCAGAGTAAAGAAAAACTAAAGAACACTTAGAAACATTTATTTACTCGCCGATACGAGAAATCGAATCCGGTCGATGTGGTCACATTTTACTCTTTCTTTTTCTCAGCCTCATCTATGGCCTTTATTCTTTCAATAATTGACGGGTGAGAGAGGTTACATAAGGAATAAAGCCAATCGTAGACAGGAAAAGACAAGTTATCTTTAGTCAAGACAAGCAAAGCATTCTTGAGCTTCTCGCCTGGTTTGATGCTTACGGCAAAAGCGTCTGCCTGAAACTCGAATTTTCGTAAGAGCATTGTAGTCAGAAAATCCAATACAGTGCTATAAGGCATAAAAAGGAATTGGAAAATGACGATCAGTCGGAGCACCGTGGGTGCAGTTGACGGAGGAAAGCCGAACTCGATAAACATCATATCCATATTCATCAACTGTCCAAAGACGAAAAACATGAAGAATATGTTGAATTGCGCAATAATAAGATTGATAGTAACATGATTCATTTTCCAGTGTCCTAGTTCGTGAGCAAGCACTGCCAAAATTTCCTCATCGTCGTCACAACCCTTATCTTCTGCGACATCGTCGGATTCATTTACAGCGTCAGAGGTCTTAGAGCTTGAAGCATTGGGCATCTTAAAGCCACGGATCAACGTATCAAATAAAACAATCCTTTTATTTTTACCGAAGCCATAAAAGTAAGCATTGCTGTGGGAGCTGCGTTTAGAACCCTCTACCACAAAAAGCTTCTTCAGAGGAAATCCGATTTGAGCAGCCAAGTCCTCAATTTTCGTGCGCAATTCACAATCTGGAAAGTGTTCGTATCGGTCAAAGATTGGAGCAATGAATTCCGGGTAGATGAACATTATGATCATAGATACGGCGAAGGTGAATCCGTAAGCATATATATAGAAGTACTGTCCACCAGCTTTTATAATCCAGATAAGCGCCGCGATAATGGGCAAGCCGATAACCAGGCCAACCAAAAGGGACTTAACCTTGTCCTTTATGAAGAATCCAAGAGTTTGCTTATTAAATCCATACCGCGCTTCAATGACAAAATTACGGTAGTAGCTCCAAGGAAGGGAATCGAAAAATTGGAAAACGGCAAAGTAGACGGTAAATAGGAGTGAGATGAGAATTTCGCTATCTTTGTTTATACCAAAAGACCAATTAAAATGTTGAAACGCAAATGAGTCTAAGCGAATTAAATGATCGACAGCTTTTCGCCAAACCCATCCGATGACTTGGAAATGCAGTATAACCGATAAGAGCGATATGCTGTAAAAGCCGCTGACAATATCAAACCTCAATTTTTCAACTGAATAACGTCCAGCTTTGTCAAATGCAGCTTCATCCATAAGTGACACTATTTCTTTAGGTGGGGTTTTTGTACTTTTTGCCACTCTAATTTGTCGAAGATTAAGAAATGTTTCCCAAATAAATAGACACCAGGTGAAAAACAGAATAACATTGAGAAAAGTAATGGAGTAGCCACCATAAGTATAAATTACTTCAGTCACCATGGCAGTAAACGCAGTGCACACGAGTATACAAAAAATGCTTGAAATTCCCTATATTCATTGGGCTGTTTGAATTAACCTCAAAAATCTTGGAATATTTCGAAAGTTAAATTAAATTTGAAATCTATGGGAGATAATGCACTAATTAGTGAAAATTGGTTTCATGTGTGTATATTAACTAAGAAGTTTATTTTATGACTATTTAAATTGATATTTCATATATCAAACTCTAAACGTCCATTGTTTCTGGGGGCAAAATTATGATTGCGTGCTTCGGCCTTAGACAGAACAGTTTGTGATGGTTTACTCAGGCTAATAGAAAAAACAAGTAAACTGAATAGCCATTAAAACACTGCATCCCAACGAATTATAGTGTATATTTATTTTATTAGCTATGTTATGTGCTAAATTTCACCGCTCTTCTGTGTGGCGGTGCAAATGCTAATCGATTACCTTTTCACCTCTATTATGCAATATAAATTCTGCTGCGAACAAAGCTTACAAGACTTTGTAAGTTTCTCGCAGTACAAATATTTTAAATCGTTGGAATTTATTGAATTAGTAATGTCAACAGCCTATAAAACTGACATGTCAATAATTATGGGATAGTAAATATCTTTGTATTCAATCCATGGTTTCGTTGAGCTGGAGGAAAAGTTTTTGTAAAGTAATTTTTTTGATACAATTTTTTTTGGTCATCCTAAAACTATAATTAATCTAGCCTATTGCTCAATGGGCTATTGACTTTTTAACTTTGATATTAAGCATTTTGGGAAAATTGTGACATAGTGCACTCAATTGCTCAACCAAATTTCCTCCAAGTATCTCACACTTGTTATCTTCGAACTCAAGATTAATTCATCGTGTTCCAAAAAATCGTTTTTCACGAATTTATTCACCAGACCGAAATTTCAAATTCTAATAATTGGAAGTCGCCTAGTGAATTTTTGTATGCGGATTTGCTACTAATAAGAAAAAATCTTAACCGCAAAAACTTCGTGACCAATATTCAATGTATTAAAAATGAGCACATTGTAACATCTTATATGGGTTCACGTTTGCATGAGGATAGAATTGTACTTGAATCTGTTATTCCCAAGATGTGAACGGAGTTCACAGTGAGTGACAGAAACCAAACAAGTTCCTATGAAACATAATGGCAAGCACGCAGTAAATACATACATAAGTGCACCTCTCATACCAAAATGTGAAATGGCATCAGCATTAAGCTTCAGCCACTTTCTCTTAGTTCTCGAGGGCTACGAAAGAGAGATTATCAGAGTTCTAAGGCAGTTTAAAAACGATAACTTCGTTGACACCTTAGTTTTATGCACACCTTTTTAAAAAACAACTCTGTCATGTTTTTTAATACATGCACGTCTCCCGAATCTTCCCGTATTTGCATACCGTTTTGACTACCTTTCTCCAAAATCCTTCAAATCCTATTGAAGAACTCGAAACAGTTCAACTGAAGTCGCTTCGTGAAGCTCACCATCTGCTAGTTAACTATATGATAGGTTTTCCTCCCTATTCATTCAGTATACGGGAACCTTGGATCGTAGTAATGAAGTTGACACCTCGATTCTGGGACAATTATGGGCCAAATGCCTGTCGGCCATCGAAAGGACTGTTATATTCTAGCAAAGAATTGACACACCGATATAGGGGCTTGCAGAAATGGCTAATATAAGCCACGATTGTCAGATTTAAGGTATAAGTAATCGACTTGTTTTTTCTTGATTGGTAGCACGCTTAAACGATTCTAACATCAACGATTCGCAGAAGTGGTCAGCTAACCAGCCAATCCAAGGATTAACCTGGACAGTGTTGGTATTGCTATCGATACTACAACCGACCAAAACAGTCTGTCCTTCAATTAGACAATTATGAATATCAGGAAACGAGACGGCAGGGTAATAGCGGCGAAAGCACACACAAGCACTTAGTCGCAAAGGCCAAAATTTGTATTTAATTCAGACTTCAAATTCACGAATAAATTACATCACCTTCCGGACATTTCTCATCGCAGGGGTTTGATTCCAACATGTTCCTCAAAAATACAATGTTCTCAAACCTGCTTCTACCATCCACGCTGCTTCTTTTCACTACTTCTAAATAAACTTAATCCAGGTTCCGTTATCAATAAATGCAAGAACGCTATAACGCATTTGATTGCCGATACGTAAACGTATTGGACACTCGCATCTAATGATGAACCTTTGGAGTTCAAGAGAACTGACAGAGCATTACTGCCAGAGAAATTGTATCAGTGTACTCATCAAGTCTGCTGCGACATATCTTACCCCAGTAACTTCCCTGGTTTTGGTTCTTTAGTGTGACCTTGGCTACACTCAGAATATCGTCTTTGTCTACGTAATCATTCCCAAGGTCTGTAGTATATCGGCTAGAAAAACCCAAGCCATCATAAAATAGTTGTTTGATAAATTTTTATACACTGGGAACGGACCAGTAGATACTAGGCGGCTTGAAATCACTCCCTACCTGTGGTTTCTGGCTCCAAAATGATTCTTATATCTTGATGCAGCGTTAACGGATTCAAATTGCATCACTAGAGATAATTAAATATATTTTGGAAGCACAAACTTAGTAGGATTTTTAACACACATATCCTTCAGCAGCCACACCAAACTAAACCTGGAGATCTAGGTCACGGCGCGACAGACCAATTTAGAAGTGAGAGGTCAACCATGACATTAATTAGAAAAAAATGTAATCCACTTGAGAATGTGAAGACCAAGGCCAGTGCCAAAAAAACATACGATGGAAGATCGTCAGCAGGATGAGCGCGCGTTTTATTGACACCATGCAAACCCAAGTCACATGTTTTTTTACACTTTGCACAGATTGGCCTCGATCTTAGGAAAAAACGGTTGCTTATAGGAAGACTTGATTTGCGAATTAACACAGGGCTTTTAGAAAAAAAACCATGTTGAGAAAAGTACATTATTCATCCAGTGTGTAATCAATTGCTCGTCTATCGACGTTACTTCAATTATGTGAATTTGAAGAGTACGCCTTTTAGATCTGAAAATACACACATGCAATGGACGACGTTGCCTCATAAGAAAGTTAAATAAAAATGTTTGGGGACTGAGGGGATCAAGTAATTGTATGGTTGATGGTTTAAGGTGGGATGTTGCATTCGCGTTTGGAATGGCGATACTCCGCGATCTCTAGAATGCTGTTGAGGTGCACAAGCGCGGCCAGTACCACGAAAACGTGAAAGATTTGGTGGCTCTGAAACTAGAAAGCATACTCAACTGTAACTATACCGAAAATGCTCACTAATCTAAACAGAAACACACAACGTCGCCTGACATTGCCTCAGCACACCGACAATTCAGTAGGAATTCTTGAAAGAAAAGAAAAATATGCTCACCCAAATGTCGAATTTTCCCGGGTAAAGGCACTCGGGGATACGAAAGGCGTAGATTAAAGCCCCCGCGATATAGAGAAAAGCCATCAGAATCAGCCAACACACTGCAGAGAAACTCGTCGTGTCCAGCAACCCTTCCAGGAAGATGTAATGGACAAAGGGCACAACTGCCGAAAGACCCAGGCCAATAAACAATCCTTAAAAACGAAAAATGACAGCATAGATCATTCTACCGTCAAAAGCAGAAGACAAATGCATTAGAGAATGTACTTTGCTATTCAATGTCAAGTGGTTATAAAGCCAGTGATGACTAGATGTGCGAACAAGGAGCATCCATGTAATGAATTTTTTTTAAAAATACGAGAAAGTTCAGCGCATCGCTTGGCATTACTAGTTATTGCCTTCGAATAAATAAAAGCACGAATCTCATAACTCAATAGGCACTTTAACTTCAAAACTAATCACTATTTTCTTTAAATGCTGAACACTGACCTGCACGAACACCACGGTACCTAGGTGTTCTAAAATGGTCCTGGCTGGTGATCACCATGCAAACGATGCCCAGAATGATGATTCCACTGAGGTAGATGACTTTGGAAGGAACGTGGCAATAAAAGGAATAGTGTATCCACGGCACAAACGAGCCTATTACTAGCAAGGCAATGCCGATGTAATCGAGCCTAAAAAATTACGAAAATATAGGTTCAGTCGTAAGAGGGAAAGTAGAGATTAACTTGTTTTACGACAATAACTCTTTGGGTTTTGATAGCTCGGCGCCGCAAAATTTTGGATTTCGAAAGGACAGCCATTTTATCTCAAAGTAAGAACGCCCAATAAGTTTAACCCATCAGTTAAAGTAGACTTAGTCAAGGCTATGGCAATTGTGTAGCCACAACACGTCATCTAAGAAAACAAAGCCTTAACTTTTTTTCCGACTGGGATCGGTAAAAAAACTTGGCACGTTTATAGGAGTGGCTATACTAGACCTAACAAAGATCACCTGACGCTAACTTTTCTTTAAAGATGCAATAAAAGGAGGGATATTTCTGAAAAATTAGAACCACGGCGCGGTGCGTTAATGCTTGGAACCACAAAAAGACACTCAAACACGTCACAGCAACGAGGCTTCGATAGATTGTTGAACAGGTACTTGCATAGGGACAAGAGATCGGCTAAAGGAGAGCTTAGATTTTAATAAATGAACATCAGAGGGTTTAGCACCTTTAAGCGGCACTCATAAACTCAGATTCCCTCAATTAAATAAATGCTATACAATAAAAGCTTATCCGTCTTATTAACGGTGGACATCACTTCGTTTACGCGAAACTGCACATGAACATTAGAAATGCACCCCTATAAACACTTGGTAGTTATTGCAAAAGAACGACCCTCATGTTTACATGATACCACCGAAACAGCGTTGTAGGGTGTTATGAAAATTTGAAAAAGTATAACTTAACCAGTGGCTTTATTGGGAATTAATTGTAACCACACATCCACAAAACAACAAAATGGCGTTGTAATAACCCTTGTCAAAGCGCACAGCCTTATTTGCATAATTGGAACTAGAAGTTGTCTTGAATATCTGTAATTTCCCAAAGTTTAAAATCAAACACACTTGAGACATAATGCCAACTTTCTGTGCCAATATTTTCTCAACCCTAATACACACATTAACAACACAAACAATATTAAAACATAGTCCATGAATGCAGTACCTATGACGTAACCACGGGGTCACGCACACGCCCACTGTTTATTTGTAGACTTCTTGTTTTTCCTACTTCCTCTGTTGCGCATTGTGATCTCGAGTAAACCTTGATTTAGTGAAAGTGGCCCGTGCACTAACGAGCTCCCCAGAAATGTAGAGCTTAACGAAATTACTCATTTTTCGATAAAGCCAAACTAATTTCACCTCTACCTTGTAGCAAAAGTATGGATGCTTCATTCACCATCCAACAACACCGATCTATTCAAGTGTGGCTAGCAGAGTATTAGATCCAAGCATTGCACACTTGACAACAATGCGAGGTCTTAGTTCACGCGTATTTTGCGCCAATAAATTCTCTTGATTTCGAATTGATGAGCCCAAATACTTCCATCATTGACAAGATTTCAATTCTGTAACAGGATTGTGGAGTTGACGACTGGAAGTAGTGACGACACGTGCTGGTACCACCATAAACGCCGTAGTTCGAGATTAGTCGTTTTGAGCGTGGTAGGCGTTAGCACTGTGACGAATGTAAATAAAGCCGATAAATTTCAACAACTGCAGATTGGTATTATTACAGTTTTTATGGTTCTTGATTGAGACGGGGAATAGTATACGCCTTAGCAAATTTAACCTACGTCGAATCAGGGTCATTTGACTTGGCAATTGGAACAAAATTTGCGACTCTGTTGAAATCAAAACGCGCATAGCAAAGAAAGCGATCGAAAATTTTGTAGGTTAACGACGATATTTGCGGCAAGGTTGGGTGTGAAATTATCACTGTGAAATTGGTCTTAACAGTTGGAATTAATCAATTAGTCTAAGAATAAATAGTCTAATATCCATCTTAAATCCCACCCAAACCCAGCAAAATAATGCGTTTATCTGCACTAAAAGTAAAAATGCGCGCCTTTAGGAAGCAAGTTTATCAACAGGTGGTCGATGAAGATTGGGTATGCTAGAGAAGACAGGACCTCGTTTTATTTCTTCGAAGGGGGAGAAAGGAGGAGTTGGTCGGTGAGGAAGACAGTTGGCGATTGGCTGTTTTGGTCGTGCTGCCAAGCTTTACTGTGAGCGCCAGTCGCCAAAACCAAAATAATGCAGATCCCACCATGACGGTGCATAGTACTTTTGTCCTACCACCTACCTACTAAGTAGGCTTCATTTCCTAGTCATGACAATTTCAGATGAGTGTCGTTAAACTGCTATAACTCAGTGACATCTATTCAACTGCCTTTCCGTTTATATGGGCCCACAAGTCTTGCAAGTGAATTTGTTTTATGTAGACCTACCAGTACGTAAAACCAGATATGTATGCATATGATTTATTCCTAAGATTAGAGAAACTCGCTCGCTTTACGAATTACAACGGCTAAACTACTAAAGCAACCAGATAGTGTTTTTAACAATAACCCACGCAAGTGATTTGGCAAACGATGCATAACCCACAGATCACTCAAAATAATTTACCTAAGACAATGGTTGAGCTAAATCCACGTACTAGTTACTTCCGTAGGTAGCAAGGTTTCGAATGCACAATTCCTAGTCAACTTTCAGCTATGTCGTGTACGGTTTGACAGCGCCTAATTCGGGTTCCAGGGAGACGCAAAAAATATAGTTAAAACTACGTTTCCGGTAGGTAATAATCAATGCTCCCAGGATTTCCTTTATACCTTTGACAGGCACATTAAAAAAGACGGAAATGGAGTGACTTCGTATTTGGTAGGATTGTATGGAGTCACTTACCGAATTGGAAAGAATTCAACAGAACCGGTTAAATTTCACGTTACTACGCTGGTAGTGATAAGAAGTCGCCTCTTCGCAACAACAAGTTATTGGAGAAAAAACTTGCCAAATAATATTTTGGGAGTGCCATTGGGATTGTAGAGGGCAGAGATACTCGGAACACCAAGCGTTGCAATGTGTGTGTGTTAGTATCAAAAGCTCCTAGAAAGAACCTCTTAACACTAAAATCCTCCCCAGCGGAAGTTAATCAGAAACAGCGCTAATAAATATGGAGGCTTATTTCAGGGTTTGTGGATTTTATTAGCAGCGATCGTGCCATTTGGAATTACTTTGCACGCATGAGAGCTTTGTGTTACCTGCACACATGGGTAAAGCTCATTCATATGCCAGACCGCAAGGACAAACAACTAACTTACAATTTGCACGTTATTAAAAATATGACGGGAAACCACTGATGGAGCGATCCATCAGATATACTTCAGGATTGTAATCAAAGTGTCTAAGCGGCTGCTACATGGAATTTAGCTCGCACAAGTCTACACGACTTACTTGCTAAAGATACGCCCAACGTGTTCGGAATGGCAGGAGACGGTGTGGAAGGTCCAAGAGAAGCCGAGGGCGAGGATAGCACTGACGAAGAACACTGTAATTACAAGAACCTCCTCCCAAGGCAAGTCCAGTCCAGGGTGCACGAGGAAGGAAATGCACAAGACTAGGAAACAGAGGCAACCTGGGAAGGAAGAAAAGCGCCTGCATAGCATAACTCCGTTCACCAATTAAGGCACCAGTGTGAGCGTCTCCATGTGGCGTTTCCACGCCATTCTCCTTGCCAAGGTCACCTCTACTTTTAATATACACATCGAGCCACATCAGCTGCAGGAAAGTTTTAGCTTATGAGAATTCCGGGCTCTAAATTTCCGCTTATTCTATGTCCATCCAGACAATAATTTGTCAAATTAATTGCACCGTAAATATCAAGTCCATGAACTCAAAGGTAATTCCGGAAAATGGATGACTAAATGTCACCATATAACTCCAGAATTACCTGACATCAGGCAATTCGTGGAATGTCTACCTGGCCTTCCACAATTTTGATGTGGAAACGCACGGTTAGGAAATCTGGTAGCTTTTCATTCGAATCCGAATGCCTCATTCAATTCACAAGTTCCATATTGTTGGTTATATTTGCAACTCTTATTTTTCAGGCACGAAACGTAAACAAGAGAATCCAGATTCCACTGAACAAATCCTGGCTTAAAGCGGATTAAATTGGCTTTGTGTTTATGTGTGTAAAATTAAGTTGAGAGGAGATTATAAAGTATGAGGAAATTTTAGCTTGTTACACAATGTCAAGTCAAAATTCAATACGCATGAATGTAAAGTTGGATCAAATTAACTTATATTTAGTCTCTTGGCATGAAATTGGCGTACATTGAGACGTCAAGTCAGCTAATGAGCTGCAGAGTACCCACCAAGTAAATGAGTCCAGATGTTCCCAGTTTCGGTGTGAATGCGGAATATTGACCGAAAACATTGCTTAAATGTAGCTAACTGGGGCCTGTGACCCCAGAGGAGATAGTCATTGTCCCTGAGCCACTCTGGCAAGTGCGTGTAGTGGACGACGTGCCAACCCACGCTTTCCCACAGGTGCATCATAAACTCCTCAGCCTGTTCAACCACTCGAGTCGCATTTTTGAACAGATTTTCTCCCGTTCCGCCGTAACTGGCCGCACGGCGGTGTTTCAGGGGAGGAGACGCATTTGGAGAGGATGGAGAGTGGTGGGAAGTTGTGGCGATTTGGGGGAAAACACACGGGCGCAGTGAGTTGCGGGAGGTATCAAGGCCCACACCAACAGAAAGAGTACGAGTGTGTTTTCTACGCTGGCGCACCTCATTACAGGACGACTAAAATCGTAAACAACATGAGCGTGACAAAAAACCATCTAATTAAGGCAATCTGAATTGACGGTTTACTAGTCAGGGAATTTCAAAATATGTGACCACTAAGGTTTAAAAGTACATGCACACTTCCCTTTTAAGGACAGTCGGTGGTGGCTGCTGAAAATGATTTATTTTAAAAAGGATAATAATCTCGGAGTATCAAATGAATGAACTAAACGATAAAGCCAGGTTAATTTGCTAATTTAAAAAAAGCAAAATCAGTTACGGCAGTGTACGCGTTTATTTTTTTGAAGGTGAGTGTAGCAACACCAAAGAGGAATTTCTTAAGAGAGCAGCTTCAATAACGATTCCGATTAGATGGAAATCGCACATTAAACTTTTTCGGAAAAGAATTAAGAGAACTAACAAAATTTTTGATACAACCAGATTTGTAAAGTTAAATGAATATATGCCTTTGACTTTCTAGGTACGTGGGATTCTGCAATCCGGGTGAGCCAACCATAGAAGACTCAGCGGCCAATAACTCGGTGTGCATACTTCTGTTGCCAGGTTACCGGATAAACTATCTTATTTGTCATAGACTTTACAAAACAAACTATTTTAAGTACACCCATTCATCCCCACTCTACCAAAGCACAAATAACTAGGAAGGGATATCTTAACATGACGGGCATGCTTAAAAGTTGCCAATGAAATTAATTACGCAAAGCAAACTTTACTCTTTATCGGTTCCTTGTCAGGCTCTTCTAATAAACAATACATTACGCGTGCAGGCGACAAAGATATAACTACCATGGGTTTGGGCGGCAAAATTTACAATACCCATGGGCTATCGGCTTCAGAAGAATAAATTTTGGGTGCTGATATATAAGCCGAAGTCTACCCATGCAACAAGAGCGGAAGAACTCAGGACTAATTGGACTTTTGCCAGCAATTTTCAAAGTTCCACGATATATTATGATAACAACTTGATAAGTGGAGAAATATCGGCATGAAAAGAATTTAGCCGAGTTGATGCACAAGATAGTAAATATCATGCGGCGAAAATACAGACTTCCTCTTGAAGATAATAAAAATCTATATAACAAGGTAGGACATTTACCCTATCAGAATCGCTCATGGTTCCAGCGACTTCTGTGAGCTCCATAACAGCAGGTGTGATCAACCAGGTCAACCTTAAAAAATAAAACATTTTACAAATATCATTGCTAAGTCATTTTATCCATGGGAGAATACATCAATAAAAATATCTCCAGATAAAAAATCCTCCGAACTGTCAAGTATTTAAATCCATGGTAGTTAAGTGAAAGCGTAGTGACTAAAATAAAACGTTGTGCACCACGAAATTTGGCTTAATTGAAGATTATAAACAAACTCCAATCTTTGGGAAGTTGATATCTAGGATTTTTTGCCACTCTCCGAATTGAATAGTCATTCAATCAATCTTAAAACGTTATGTTTTCTAAGTTACTGTCTTTAGATATTTGTAATACATCTTATATAAATCGAGAATGATTAATTTCAAGATATCAACGATGAGCTTCACAATTACTGACACTGGATGACCACCAAACATCAAAGCGTTAAAGCAGCAACTAAACCCAATCACGGAAATTCGCTCAGATGATGCAGGTAAAGTACAAACACTAGGGACGACCTAGGAAAGCAAGTGCAGAGATATTCAAAAGCGTAATATGTTGAATTTCCTAAACAGGATTACATTTCGAAGAGGTCAGCAACCTCTTTAAATTACCTAGTTAGCTGATACGAAGACAGTCAAATTGCCATTAAAAGTACCACTAAGATAAGAAAAAAACGGTACAATGGAATTTTAGATGGAAGATGATGATCTCCATGTAAGTTTTAACACCGGAAATATTAAAGAAGGGCTTGTTAAATGACAAGTTACTGATTAAACACTTGAAGTTAACGACATTAAATATAGAAAGGTATCATAGATCAAGTTCAGAATACAGACAAAACGGATCGACCATAAATCTAGAATCCTTCTAAATTTATACCAAACTCAGCATTTTCAGTGCTTTAATTTTAATCATAAACCACCAGAATACTACTGGCAATCCCAAAAGTGCGAAGCATCTATGTTTACTAATCAGATGCTTGGGCGATCCAACGAAATGATTAAATCGTGTAGTAGTTGTGACCTTTAACACCGGAATTTCAAACTCCAAACTATTCTAATTTTAAAAGATTACAAACACCACATGGAAAATGCTAAAATTCATTCAATAAGCGGTTAGATTTACGCATAGTTTACTTTCACATTTACTTTGTTTACAAATTTAACAAAATACCCAGCTGAAAATTAGTTTGTTGACAGACTGAACAAATATGCATTTTTGATGCTTCCGTAAACGCTTTAATTCAAAAATCACCCTCCTAATATTCAGAGTTAAAGTGTTCTAGCAAAGATTTGTTGACTAATATGTTAAACTTCTTCATCCTATAAGTGTTATAGGGTGTTCACTCACGCGGCATTTAAACGAAAACGGAATAGGGAAGAAAAAGGCTTCAAGCGAGTGATTTGTCTAACTGCATCTGAAAACGGCTGACTTAATGAACATAGGAAAAGCAACGCAGGTAAATCTCTGTCATAAAATTGTTTACCTAAACTGCACAGCACGCACCGAATGATTCGTGCTATATAATAGAAGCCTCTCCAAAAGTTCAACAAAACCATCACATGTGCTAAAACACATAAGGAAAAAGATAGAAACTATATGCTCGGTAATAATATTAGGTAAAGACCCACATTAAGATGACCTGTAAATTACAAGCATTATCCAACGAAACAAACTTTTTCCCTTTTATAGAAAAACAATTCGCTGAATGTTTCTTGTTTACGAGTAATGAGAGGGAATAAGCACTTAATTTGGACAATTGAAATAAGGACACAAAATGCAAAAGCATAAATACGGAATAAATATGAAGCTGGCTTGATAACCATCGAAGACAATTTAAAGGTAACGGTCCTCAAATTTCAACAGCTCATGAGCAGCAAGAGCTGCTCATCAGATCAAACCTGATGCAAAAAAGCAATTAAACGATCCAATAATAACAGCGAAAGATAAATTATGACCGCATTTAGGTTTAAGTTTGTTGAAGAAATATACGAGAAAGCTACACATACACACTAGCTGGAGTTAGAGATGAAGCCGATAGGCCACCAGATTATCTCTAACAAGGCGCTATTAACATAAAAGTCAATTAACATTGGATTTACAATTAATGATCCGTTATAATGTTTTAAGTCATAGTACCCCTTGTTCCAACTTAATAAAATAAGTGATGCATAAAATTTTTTTACTATTTGCTACCTGTTAAAACTGGTGTTTATATCTTTCATTTTGTGATGATAGAATATCTATTCGGAATCAAAAGCCGTTGTTTCTTCTCTTATACTATGAAAGTAGGCTCTTTGTATTCCATATTTGCAATAAATTTTAAAAATATTTTTGTTTGGAATCAACTTTAGGATGAATGTCTTTAGTTATTTCCTTTAATTTCGATTCTAATATTATGCGCAGCTATTTTGATAAAATTAGATACCGCCAGGACACTCCATTGCGTTAATTTTCTGTATAATTTGATGTCCTCTAATTTTTTCAAATTTTTGCTAATGTAACCCATCACTAATAATTTCATGCACAACTAATTCAGGTACCGTCGCATGTCTTTAATGGTAGTGTTTTCCACATGGAAATTGCAAATTATCCATTAGAAATTATGCATGTGCTAGAAGTTGACATAACATGACTTAAACCTGCGTGAACTGTTAATTTTTGTTTAATTTTCGGCTATTTCAATCCTTTGTCATGAGGAATCACTCGGCATAAGCGCGCGCTGCCTGAGGACTAAAGTTTAATTCAAAAGCATTATTTAATGGGCGTTAAATGTTTTGAAAAAGGAACAGCGAATAAAAAGCGGTTTTGGGGTTGAAAATGTCACCTCTTTAAATGAAGGTCTTTACAAACTCGATTTTGTAAAAAAAACATGCGGTTGAAAGAATAGGACAAATGAACTAAACACTTTGCATAAATTTTTGAAACCCTCAGCACACGTAGAACACAGCCACAAACCATCAGAACTAGTCTCGAATTGTAACCAGGAGGTGACACTCAGTGAGCGCGATATAGCAGTTTGGCCCATATTAAAAATATATGATCGCGTTATTAGAGATTGCACATTTAAGTTGACTCGGCATTATTGGAAAATTGTAAATTATCGCTGTAACTCACTGAAGGATAATAGATTAAAATCTTACCTGCAAGTTTGATGGTCACATCCCGGTCAAAGGCTGAGCTAGAATAGGAGACGATTTTCAGACCAACTTATTGAGTAGAATACTTGTTAATATCCTTTGGGTTAGACGACCATTAAAATGAGAACAAGTTGCAACAGTCATCTCAGGAACACTCCTCCCCTTTACACTACTTCCCCTCTCGTGCCAACGCATTTGGTTAAACACCTCCTAAGCTCACACACTCCACATCTTGCCATTCATGTTTTTGTCTATTTTGTTGTTCACAGACTGGGAAACTACGATTGGCCTTAAACGAGTGAAAGGACCACACTACAGGACATGTTATAACTTAGATGTCTAACACCTCGCAGTGAAGCCTAGACAACTGGACGCTCTTGAGTAATGTTACCCACTCTGGCGATATCTTGGCGCGAGACGGGCACAAGTTATAAGTTTTATTGCAGAAACCCACAGAACAATCTGTGAAAACGTGAGGCCACTTGGAATGGGGATCTATGTCGGACAGCAACGATTTTCTGAAGCACTCCTTCGAGCACTTTCATGTCTATGTGACTGTCTACATGTATTTATGGCAAACTAAACTTTGCGCTAGTCTTTCTCGATTATGGAAAATGGCCAAAAAGTGACCTATATCGATCAGGTAATGCATAAACAGAATTATGTTTTCATGAACAAAGCTTATAACCAGAAAAATCGGATTCCTTTCGCTCGAAGTGAAATGCGAATCGATTTTGACTCGTACTTTTGACCAATTTATTCACCGAAATCAAAGTAGTTGAATAAAAATCCCCTCTCTTACTTCATTAACAAATTGTTTAGGATTGTCGCATTTAGTGGTCACAAGTCCTTTCTGATGGCAGTTTCATGTTCTTGTTACGTACCGGAACACTATACCCGACGCATTAAATTTACCTTCGTTCATTACCAAAGCTTACTTCAACCTCCTCAATTACTCTACCCAATCACTGCCAATATTTCGACGGACAGTTGCACAAGTTTAAGCTTTTCCTCACTTGATTTTACACTCACTTAGGGAACATAGCAAACGTCTGATATCGGACACCTCTTCTGTACAAAACCGGAGTAATCTTTTTGAAGTATACTCCTCAGTAGGCAGCAAAAATTAATGAATTCAGTCTCCCATTTCCTGTACGTTAAAAACCTAAGTACAATTGTCTGCATAAATTTCGTGTGTTGCCTTTTTATCATTAATCGGATCTCAGTCATTTATGTGCAGCCGACTCCAACAAATCCATTTCTGACTTCTCAGCGAATTCTTGGCCAGAAAACGCGCGATTTTTATCGTCTGCTTGAATATATATTGTGAATATCTAACGAAAACGGGGTTAACTGCATTCACCTGTGCGGATACTTCGGCAGGAAAGACAGTAAAGCCTGAAGAATACTTCCAACACTGTCCGGAATCTGAGGATTTAAGACGAATAACTCCATCTTTAAGACCACTGTAAGCACATTAAAAGACTCGGAAACAGGAGATGGATAGGTGTATGGGGTACGAACTTCTGTAGATATTAAAACCCTGTTTCAGAGTGAAGGCTCTCCGAGAATGATCCTCAATTTTTTTAAAAAAACGGGCAATTTAAGAGGCTATTGGTCAATTATTGAGATAAACCACAAATTAAGTCCATGGGAGGAAATTAGCGTGCATAAAGCAGCCGACGACTATGTAGGCGTAAAAATACAAGAGCAGTAGCTGCTGGCGTGACCAAAGAGGATACGATAGGGGATTTACAATTCGGAACATATCAATCAGGTGGCGAGGTTTAACGGCGATTTTAGACGAAGCTTTTGCTTTGGCACTTGGAGACCTTCCGAAGATGACACCTTGTTCATCTAGGAGCAGGGAAGCGCAGTACCAGTAGAGCACCGGACAAGATGAGAACAACATGCGAGTAAGAACCTGGAAAGAGTGAAGTGATTTGCCAGGTGACAAGTTCCGCAGTAACGGTCGGTGCTTATCCAAGCAACTCTTCTCCAACTAATGTTATTGCTAAGAGCATACAAAAAGCTAAGTTCGGCAGAACATACGCCGAATATTGTGCAGGGAGATTTGGAATCTTAAGCATCGTCATAACTTGCTCTGGGTTTAACAAACCTTCAGGAAAAAACACGTATTTTGTAATAGACCTGAAGGTTTTATCAAGACAAATGACAATTACGCAGGCTGAGTATCAACGAGTGGCCAAGTCAGCATCAGGCTGGATTCTCAGAAACTGCTTTTTGGCCGAACGACCTCATAACACGTTAATTTAAGTACTAAGCCAGTAATTCAAGGCGACTTCTAACAAACCTGTTTTTACACGACTTGGCACACACCTGGATTCTTGGACTACACATGCAATAATATATAAATGGCAATACATTTTTTCCTGCACAAAACAAAAGCTGCTGGAAGTAACTATGGTAACAAAAATTTGACCATCGGCAGCTGAACACACCTAGATACTATACATTCATAGACATCTTTATCATATTTTTGGCATCAAGAAAGGTGAATCAACGTGCCAACCAAGTGTACGATATTTTAACTATAAAAAGCCTTTTGAGAGTTTGAGCCATAGACGAGGAACCCATGTGGAAATTACAGTCTGGTTCGAGGAATTATTTGGCCTAGAATATGAAATTTTGTATTTTAACCCCGGTCAGAAACGCCAGCCAATAGCTATAGTGAAGTAAAAGTTTGCCTCCATCTCTATACAAGAATTACCACCCAAACAGCACGTAAGGACGCACTCATTACCTTATGACCTGAATCACACGACGTACCAGTTAGCTAAAAAATTAATTATATCTACGTGAGCTAACGTATCAAATAAATATAGAAAGCTGTTTTAAGGATTTGGTGTAATGAAAAGCAAGTCAATTTGTTCAAATAAAATAGAAGGAAATAGTAAAGACAAGTGACCTACCTGAATATGGACGTTGACGATGCCATAGGCGCACAGAAACATGACGTGATAAATGTGTGGAAGCACAAGCCTCTGCCTTCTGTGAGCTTCAATTAAACCTAACGAAACCATTGTTTTGAAAGCCATTCGTCCGTATAAGTGTACTGTTCTGATAACTAAGACTATCACAGGGAGAGCAAGTAGAAAATTTGGTATTTGTTTCCACTCATAATAATTAAATGGTCCAACATTCCAAAATTTTTTCTGCAAGCGCGTGTACGAAGACCAAGGCACAACTTCACACCATTCTGGTCGTGTTGTTGAATTGACAGAATATGGTGTAGGAACTCCAAGCTTCCGAGCAAACTCTTCCAAGTCCGGACTAGGCATATGTGGCATCAAGAATGATAAAGAAGCAGGCCTGGGCGCGACTGAACAGTACAGGAAGTAGGCGTAATATTGATATGCTACATACGGGATGGCCACTCCGATTACTATTGACAAAATAATTATCACGCGGTAGGCCATGGAAAGTATCACCCTAAATTTTTGCTTAATAGAACTAGGGTCTAGGAAACGATTTGCCAAAAGGATAAAGTGTGGGAAGCAAGCAAAACCAATATTCACTAATCCATTGCTTCGGCAGAAAACGGTTAGAGAAAGAAGGATACATCCACTTAAATATCTGCGTTCATTAATGTAGACAAGAGCGGAAATAAGGAGCAAGGTGTAGAGAGATTCTGAGTACAGAGTAGAAAAGAAAACTGAAGCGGGATTTATTGTAAAGAGAAGGGCAGATACAATGGAAACCGAATCACTCATAAGGGACAGCTTCGACAGCCGATAAATCTGGATGGCACACAAAACGTTGAATAAAAAATTTAAACAGACACCACAGAGGATGGTGTGAGTCCGAAAACTCGAAGAAAAACAGAAAACATAGGTAAAACTCGAAAAGGTTCTTAAAACAATGGAAAAAAGAGGGAAGAAGGCAAGGGTATTTTCGTAAAGGTAGCCATTTATGGATATGAAGTGAAAGTAGACTGCATCCCATTTACGAAATCCATCCAAAGCTGACCGAAGTAAGCAGTCATAGACAGTCACGCAAGCTTCTTCGGGCGGATCAAAAGCATCGGCGGTGTGATTTGGAAGAAAACTTAACACAACCTAGAATTTTATAAGAGGTTAATATACTCACATACTTACAGTTAAAACTATAATACAAACCTTGGCGGCCACAGCGAAGAATGCGACATTGCCGTATACAGTATCCATCGCAGAGTATCTGATTAAACCGCAAAAAAATCAATTTTAAAAAAAAAGTATACTTTGGAGGGAGTGGCATTTAAATAATTTCACAAAATTAAATACAAGGCTGAATTAAAAGCAGCTTGAAGTACTTAATTACTTAAACCAAAATCGCATTTCAGAGCACTAGAAACTGCGGTTTTATACAAAAAAGGTTTTCTAAACATTGAATAATAACGACTGAATGACTTGGTCATTTCTCGACTATGCGAAGAAATGGGTGGTCCAATAAACATGCACAAATGTTCTAGCATCTTTTATTATGGAAATTAAGCAAAAACGGGACAATAGACTGTGATATTTGGGTGGCACACGAGCCTACAAGGTGATGTTGAATCAAATGCGCAATGATTAAAAAATATGCGAGATGAAAAGTATGGTCAAATCAGACCGAAATCCGACAAGTTGCTATGGTACAAACACCAAAAGTGAAAATATGTTTCAAATTTATAAGTCAAAAAAGGAAATAGATATGTAGAGTTACACGATAAACAGAGAACCCCGCTAGCAGTAACCCGTATATTTCGCAAAAATTCCAAGCATTCGTTCACAAACAAAAAAGCGTTCAAAATTCACATAAAGAGAGTCAAAATAAATATCTGCATCGAACATACTAACCTATCAAAGCAAACGATGAATGGATTTAGCACAACACATCTAGGTACTTAGAGCACACAAAAACATTTGCCGCAATAACCTGATGATGAATTCAAAAGTGTGGCCCGTGATAATGTCATTATAAACACAGCGTTTTTTATGAATTAACAATAGCAATCGTTTGCATTAAAAAAATTGATTTTAAGCCTACAAAACTAATTATAATTTAAATGTCTCCTATTGAGTTGGTAAAAGTTTACGAATTTAATGCATTTTTATATTTAACTCAGTCATAGCACTCACATCAATATTCAGGTTTAAAAATGCAATAGCTTAAATTCTTTATGCATATGTACACAAATGTCTTCATTTTAGTCGGATCTTTAAAGAAACAGGTAACGTTTTTTTTATCATCAAACGTTACCACTTGTACGTGCTCTCCCTTATCGGAGGACTATTAAATACAACGGCGCAATTATATCTACTTCGATTTAGAAAGCCCAATGACATATCCCTGTTATAATATTAGGTGTCTTGCCATGCCTGTCTACAAATGGTCTTGCAAATTATTCTATACGACAAGAAAAATGCCCGTTTTCTGCAACGCACTTCACTAAAATCCTGTTAGCAGAACCATTTTCTGTTTCCTACTGATGCTAAGTTGGGTTTTACTTGCTAGCTTATAACCCTGCTTAATATCCTCTTAGCTTGTTTTAGCAAACCCCTAGTACATTAACAACGATTGTGGCACTCATATAAAGCTAATGGTTTTTTATCACTGTTATCTTCTATCAATACAAATATCTTTTAATCATATCGTTCCTTTCACCAGGTTATGCATAAAGAAAATAAGATAAATTTTCAAATTAATTTTGTTTGTTCATTCATTTATTATAAATAATGACTTCCTTTGTTGTCCCTCTCGATTTTGACTTATTATTGCATCATCATTTTTAATTTTGCTTTGTAACTAGCTGAATATTCAAAGTCGATGTTACTTTTAAGACCTGAAAACGGTTTTATTGTTGATATTTAGCACATATTTAAAATGCTTGCAGTAAGTCAAGCTTTATAGCAAGGTTCTAGTACAAAAAAATGAGTAGACTGTTGTCTTTACCGTAGTCACGCATCACGTGCTGCAATCAAGTGAATCGGCTTGTCATATGAATCATTTAAATATCACCAACAGTTTTATTGCATACCGATTACTGATTTAGTACAATCGGAACAAAAAGTTCCGTGTAAGTGATTGAATGATAACAGGTTTAAAGTTAAATTTAGATGTACGCTCACCAAATCACATAATTACTTTGAACAAATTCTTTCCTCTAATGTTTTTTAGTGTTATGAAAACTGCAAGTTTTACAACATATAAAAGGCCTACTTTTTGGATAACCTGTTTGTCTTGTATATATATCTCAAAAACGTAACCGTTAGTCAAATTTTGAATTACAACGACTAATGCCTCTTGTGATTATCGTTTGCAATTTTAAGTCAGCGTACATACACGAAAAAGTGTTGGACGTTACGAATTTGATTTCGGTATGTGCACTTTAATAACATGGTTGACTATGTACACGTATCTAATAGGCATCAGAGCAACTTTTTTTTACACGAATCCAAAAGTTTAAATAGATAGCATAACATAAATAGAAAAGCATAGATAGCATAGCATAAATGGAAAAGCATAGTAAATTTTGTGACTCATGTATCGCGAAAACACTAAAATGACAGTGTTATCCTTTTAACTATCATTATTAACGCAGATTTTTTCATACAAGTGAACAAACACACATACGGCACTGTTGCCAACGCATATTCCGTGATTTGGTAGTTCATGACACATGCTTTGGATAGCGAATAATTGACACCAATAATGAGATTCAATTTTAAATCTCTTCTCGGGTGAGCAATAAATATACATACTTGATTCTTCCTGCCATTTCTGAGGATATTATTACCATTTACTGTAGTCTGGAAATGCGGCACTACTCGCCAGGCAGACTTGGTTTACAATGCCAGATAATCCAAAACAAAATAGCAAACATCCATAATGATAAGGTTACAGGAAAGATAAATTTATTTTCATTAAGTCATGTGATAATGAGAAAAAACATTGTGCACTTTCAGAGTGTTTGGCGTTTGAACACAACTTTCATTACTTATTTAACGTGCTAGTGCTTCATTACCACGGGTTACAAAAGAAAAATTCATTAAATGGATACAAAATAGGTAAGAGAAAGAACTACAAAGTAACAACTTGCTATCACTCTGATTTTGCCCTTGTACACAAAACCTACCATTCTCCATGACTAAGAAACCCGATGGTTTCTTTACTTTTATGGGAATGCGTGTATTGAATCGGCAACACCCTTGTATGGGTTGATAACTAATTATCAGTCAATAAGACCATCATACCGGTCTATTATAAAAGGGGGATGATCCTGACTACTAATAACATTCAAGCAGAAAGGGAGACCGTGTTTCTTCTAAGCCACTGTTGCTGATTTTAATCTGGGTTGAGCACCAGCAGACAACATTGACAAAATCTAAATAAAGTAAGTGTAATATTCCAATACTGACATGTATAAGGTATTGTTTCCAAGAGGCCCCAAGACGTTCCAAATAAATCAGTCTGTCGAAGAAATCATGAATTTGCTTAGTTTGCCCTGAGCCATCCTTTGATAAATACAAAATCGATTAGTTTACATGTGCATGTTAGATATTTGTATCTCACATACAAAAAAAACAATAAATCGACAATAGTCTAACAAAAGTTGTACGATGTGCATTATTAATATGTAAGTGGATTAACCAAACCTTAAGAATCAGGATAAGCAACCTTCAGTTAGAAATAAACTTCGCCGTAAGTCTGAGATAGAATGTTTGATGACAGCGATTCCGGAAGTAATCGAACACTTCTTATAGTTTGCTTTAGTAATAATTGCTCCAAATTTTACAACGGAATTAATGATACCAGACACGTTGCCTCACAACGAAGTTACATGAACACATATGAACTTTGGTTTCACTCGCATAGTAGTAAGACTTAATTTTACAAGGTTTCAACCAACATGCAAAAACAATTATCTGATGACATAATTAGTCCTCCCTAAAGTTTTAAGGCTCAACAGGTGTATTAAAAACATAATAAACTCTATGGCATAGAGGAGAGGTACAGTGTAACTTGCAAAATTATTGATATAGCATTCGGTTGAAATTGTGCGAGATGTCGGCGAGTACTTGTGTAAAAGATGACCAGAAATATGGCCTTAATGGTTGATATATGAAACCCAAAATGTTGATTGCTTTAATTTATATCACGGAGAGCAGAATCTCTTTGAATGCTCCGTAATCGTGCCAGCTGCGAATTCAGTTAAACATTAAAAGATAAATCATTGGAACGTGCAGCATCAGGCGTTTAGATGGAAGGTGAAAATAGTTTTTTGTTGTGTAAAGGACGGGAAAAATACGTCCTGGAACTTAAAAGATAGAAATGTGTATCATGGCAAAGCAAAATTCGAGGAAGGAATTCAAAAAGCTGTTAAATTACTCGCTGAAATTAGCTGATAAGATGAACGGCGAATAAGTTTTGAGGCTCCCGTCCAAAACGAATATGATAGCGTAAGAGGAAGAATGTTAAAATTGCGCTTAATTTTTATTTATAGCCAATTCTTGTTTGTCACGTCTTTAATTTAAACCGGCAAAAGACCTTTCAGCAAGTAAACGTTCACTCGTATGCTTTCAATTTAAACTCTCCCTTTCTGCCCTTCCAAAGTCAACGCTTGTTTCAGGTTAAAACAAACACATTTGCCGGACCCATCCACCCAGGCGCCACACATGATTTCGTAAATTTCAGAAATTCGGTACTTCCGCTACAATTCTTCTAGATTCTTAAAGAATTTATGCGTTCATTTGAAGGATGTTAGGAAAATCAAGTCTCCAATTTCACGAATGGAACTTATTTCCTATTTAGCGTTGATTTAAAAAATTAGCAAGACGAAACTGGGCATTGACATCGCTGCATATTTCTTACAGTCACTAATTCTCAATTTGGCTTCTTTTTTCGCCTGTAGAAATATTGCATTTCATTCAAAGATTGATCCCCAGATTTACGAGCTCCTGGATAGGCAATTTTGATATAGCTTATTGATTGATATATGGACCTTGTACCTGTTTGCTGGAATTTTCAAGGCTTGTATTGATTGTTATCGATTAATTTTAAAACTGGTTTGAACTTATATGCAAACAAGTGGGTTAGGCTCTTAATATATTTCAATGGCCTTTTGAAAATGGTTTTTTAGATGTTAATGAATAAGGAGCTCACAGAAGTACTAAATCAGGCAACTAAGAAATATTTTTTTTTCAACTAAATTAAATACTTTAAATCTAGCAAGACCACGTGAATTGTCGTGACAAGTAGAATTTATCCATATCTGATTAAGTTCAAAAAGCGCTTTGCTAACCATGTGCACGTTCATGCTGAAGAGCACAAATTTTTAAAGCATTCCGATGACAACTAACAGCATTGTTCCACGAAGTGTAAATTACTCGTGCCCACAAATCCTCTTCCCATTCAACGCTAAACAAACATAAAATCAGTGTGAAATTAGTAGCGTTTACGTATGTCAATATGCAGACTAATTTAGAAAACTTGTAATAAAATATTACTACGAACCAGAAAAATCGGTTGATATTTGAGCAGTCGCTATGTTTCTGAGCTTATTACACACCGCAAATCCTCACTCGAACAGATTTTACCTGTTTCGAATTGTGCTACTTGACAGTGCCTGTCAACACCAAGGTCCCACTTTTTGGACTGTGCGTATTTTAAAGAAGAGCGAACTTTTGGAACGAAAGTTGGTGATCACAGAGGCCAACTTCATTACCACTGGCTTACTATAAGAGACTTCACATACGCGAGATAAGTGGGATGGCGAAAAAACGGGATTTTTTAAAACATATCGGCGCCAATCCTTTTTAAAAAGTAGGAACACTTGACAATGGTGCCGTGGTGCATTTACTTCAGTCCGCACACATTGACGACTCGATTGCCGAGATGGACGTGATCATCAGGGCCTGAAACAGTCGAAACAGCTGTGATGGCTGACAGGACACTTTCAAATCAAAATACACCCCAGCCTCTTAGACGCATTTTAGCAATACTTATTGAGGACAAGTGCCAAAAGGCCAGTTTTCTCGGAAACGCAAATATTGGGTTCGGGCGACAACGGTCAGTGAAACCGAAATTGCGCGGTTGCCATACCTCACACCGTAAAACGCCAAGAATCCAATTAGCTAATTAATGCCCCTTAACCCAAGTCTACCTACAAACTGATGGCCAGAAAATGGAGGTGGTGGTGTTGGTGTTCTTCAGACAAGTAACTCTAAGACACCGTATCGAATGCAGCTGGCGGACTATGATTAAAAGCAGAAATGCTCGAATGAGGTGTGCAACAATGAGGCGGATTTTAAAGTTCCTGTGCTACAAACCGTTCACCTTCAACACAGACCGAACAGCACGCAAGAAAATTTGGCATCTTTTAAACAGCGAAATAACTTACTTTACATTCATCAAACCCCCAAAAAAGACCACTACATCAAAGCGAATGACAATTACGCAAACTGGGTATCGACCAGTGGCCAAGTCGGCATCAGACCAGACCCTTGAAACGACTCTTCTGGCTGTGAAAGGCCTCATAACCAAGCAAAACAGATTTATACGCTAATTAAAATGCACGACCAGTAATTCAAGGCTAATTCTAGCAAACCAAGGGTTCATCTTCCCTAAATGTGTCCAAGTGATCAACAAGGTTGCCTTTAGTTACAGAGGAATGCCATGTGAAACTAGGTGTTGAAGGATGGGAAACTGTTCATCACAGCAAGATTGAGTGGAATTGCTGACACACATAGTTCCTTGGGTTGTACAGGAAAAAGTGTACGATTGGTAATACACTTCTAATGTACAACACAAAATCCGTTGGAAGTAACAATTTTAATGAAAACATGACCATCGGCAAATGAACACACAGCACCGACATGTGCGCTTCACTGACAAAGTGCTGACACAATTACTGCCCTCCTTGGCGTGAGTACCACAATTTTGGCACGAATGCTCACAAGGGAATCTTAGTCCTATTTACCCAAACTTTCGCATGATTGAATCTTCTCTGGCAAGTAGCTCGCATCGGCACAAATAAAGACAGTAGCATGCTTGCATAAGTGGTGCTTTACAATTTATTTAGACAATGGGTGGAGGGATACAATGGTAGCAAAACTAGGATTGCAAAAACATCCCTGTTGAAGACCCATGGTTGGTTTTACACAAGGAGATGCCCGAGAGTTAGGCAAAAATCAGAGCTTTTCTGTGTTATTGGTAGGGTAAGGAAGGAGCATGTGAAAGTAGAAATGATCGACACTGGCAGTAATAAAATATGCGCTGCTTCAGTTGTTAGGTGGGCTGCGCAAAATAAAAGAAATCGCTATGAACAAGTAGGTTCCATTAGATGAGATTTGGCGGAAGTTGGCGCTTTGTAAATCTAGGGAACCGGGCACATGGCTGCTAAAAGGAAAATACACAAGTAAATTGGATGACAGACCTGGTAGGGAAAAAATGAGTGAAGTTCCGTGATCAGGTGCTGCGAATACATATGTGACGTGAGTGACCACAAAAGAAAGTCAAAAAGCGTACGGCCCTACACCAATCAGCTATAAGCCAGTATAACAGAATGTGTTAACTTGAGCGATTCCAACGAAACAATTCAGACTGAGTAAAAGTTAAATTTAATTCGTCAAAGCATCAGAAGAAAAGCATAAATGATTTGGTAAACCAATATAATTCGGATTAATCCAAGATGTAACTTCGCAACTGCATAGTTCCTTAAGACAGAGAATATACGAAAAGAGACGCCATCATTGTGTTATAGAGATCCTGCTAAAACAAATCGCAATTTGAGGCAAATTTTATGCACATAGTTAAACCAAGAAGTGTCCACTCACAAGTTAGTGCAAACAAAAGGAACTGCTGGTTACCTAATAATTGGTGCTCGTGACGAATATGCATTGGGATTAATACAGCTCAACAATGAATGAATGAACAAATGTCCAAGTACGCGACAACCATTGAGGAAATTCAACTTACATCTAGGCGGAGGCTTTGGGGGCTTCTTCGGCAGTGGAGGCGGTGTGAGATCAGAGGGATTGGGATTGGAGGCAAGATCTGGCTCAGGGGGCAAAGGGCAGAGCGGTTTTCGGGAGGTGTTGGAAAGGCGCGCTTGGATGCTGAGCTTTCGTCCCTGTGGAGGCGCAACCAACGTCCCGTTGATCGGAGGAAGGTCGGGTGGACGCTCTGGCAGCGGCGGAGGCGTCTGTGGCAGAAGCGACACGACGGATCTCGAGCGTTGATCAGGCGTAGGGCTTGTGGGCAAGTCTGATTAAGAAGAACAGTAAACCTCAGAAGTACCCTTTGCTCGTTACAACGTGCATAGCAGGTTTACTTATAAAAGGCGGTATCAACGAATGACAAGCACTACTTATAGTTAACAGACCATTGTTTTTTCATTATACAGTCAACTGGTGACATGCAAGTGTAAAACAAAATGGGAGTAAAGAAAGCCGTTAGGTTTCTTCAGGTTCCGACCAGTGTGTTATTGCTATCGAAGTACACTTTAACAGCAATCATAAAGTGCGGAGAAAATGCATTCATGTCTATCACGCATTAAGGTACACAAGCATGGATAACAAATTTTATTAGAAAACAACCTGTCAGGTAAAGGGGAATGCCAATTTTGTAAAAAACTATATCATATTGTTAATTGATTTGTTATTTTATGCTGATTAGATCTTACAGGAGAACAAGTAGCCATGACATAAGTAGCAGCAATAAAATTTCAAAAAAGAAGCCTACCTAACCACTGATGGTCATCAAGGAAACCCAAGTCCTAAAATATAAAATAGGATGAAATAACTACCTAAGCGGTCGATATATTTGGGAGAGCGCAGCGTTGGTAAATGCAAACAATCCAAAGTGGCTGAGTCGTTAATTGGTGAGAAATACTGCTGTTCAGTTACTAATACCACGGTTACGTATCAGAGATATGGTGTGTTGTGGTGCGTTAGAGCCTACAGAAAGAGACTTTCTGCATAATGATTTGACTTAATGCGTAGAGCCTAGTTGGGGAATCATCCTTTCTTATTTAAAGTAACCTCAAAGCTATGATTTGACAGGCAGCTTATACTTCCGCAGGGGTATAAAAACCACTGATTCGCACCTCCACTGAATACAAAAATCACGGATAGAAATGAGCATGAACACGCGACACCATGTCACACTGCTGTCTTACATCAATTTGTCAACTTCAATCACTGGCTAAATGCATAAACAGTAGCTAAAGAATCGGCGCTTTACAGAACTTCGGCTGTGGACTTGATCGTAACTAAAACCGATCAGCATCACCTGTTGAAGGCTCCTACGCGGTCGCTGTGTTTGAGATGTCCAGTGAATGTCGTTGGCCCTTCGGTACACTTTTTCGGCCTGAGGAAGGCTAGAACGAACATTAACAAAATGACTATTACCTTGACAATACAACAAAAAGAGTTTTTTGCACTAAATTCGAACAATCACTGTCCTGAATAGCGTACCTCATAAACTAAGTGTGTCCAGCAGATTAATAACAACCCCGGACAAGACATAAAGTTGCAAACGAATACGAGTGTGAAAAGAGTAACTGATTAGTTGACGGTAAAATAGACAGTCGAGTGATAAACATGTGTATTAACCATGACATTATGTTCAGTTTGTGTACAATTGGTTAATTTAACAATAAAGTAATTTAGGTAGCGAGTTTGGCTTTTTAAGGATATTGGTTTTGTATAAATTTAAAACAATCCCCCTTTTAAATATTCTACTAAAATTCACTAACGATACCGAGTTGGAATTGGTTAACAGACCTCGTACTAGAATGACGATCATTGGGTAGGCTATGGTCGGGGTTCGCAAACCGAATCCGCTCCTGCATTTGTGTGACACTAATGCCGAGTTTCATGCTCATTTCGTGCATGAGGGAGTAATACTGTTCCACCATGGTAGGTAACAGGTCCGTGATCGGCCCTCTCGGTTCCATGGAAGACTCAAGACTGCGACAAAGAGTAAGACCTTCAGCTTGAACATCGAGAAGTTGAAGTACCGCATCTGAAAGCTGTTCCAACTGCCGCTCGTCCAAGGAATCATCAACAAGATTCATGCTGGTCTGCAACAGAGAGACGTGGTAATTAGAATTATGTGATTTAAAAACGAGCGCAGTGACAAAACACGAGAAATAGATAATGGAATTCTCTAGTACTAACCAGCACAACCACTGATGAACTAAATACGCGTAGTAACGTAATAGACAGAGCTTTGAGTCGTTCATGGAAGTATGAGGCGACTTCAATACCTTAAATGCGGATGTTTTCAGTATGGTGGTAGGGTTTGGGCGAATGACACACAGAATTATGATCTAAAAGAGACCCACTAGAAGTGCCGTTGACAATAAAATTTCAAACATTGTCCCTAAGTCGAAGAGAGCCATACAAGAACAGTGACACGTACTAAGAATCCCGATTAAAACATGACACAATAAAATATGTAATTTTGGATTGCCTTCTCTATCTTCCTTCCACGGAAATCAGAGACAATTCTGTAGCAGAACAGGTGGTTTTTGAGGAAGTAGATTCATCTTAATTCCAAAGCCATGTGCGCAGCACAGTTGAACCCGGGATTTGTCGCGAAAGAATAACTATGACGCCTAAATTAAAAGCTAAAATCTTCGTCAACACAGGGCGCCCACATGGTGAATGGCACTGACTTTTTTGAGAGATGTAAATCAATAATCCGTCCAATAAAGTCGGCGTTCGATAACTCATCCCTTCAAAAAGACGATCTGAACATTCGGGAAAATAATCTCATTTTAAACTGACATTCCAGGCCACTCTGCTACCTGGATATTTTTCCAAATAACCATTATTGTATAGTTTTCAGCCCATTTTTCAATTACTATGGCGTATACTGGAACTCACAGAATCTGCATGCACCTCGCTCGGCATAAAACAGGATGAGTTCGGATCACTACACCGCGTATTTCGGTCATGCACGGGGAGCAGTTTTTAATGGCGGCGTGCAAGGTCCAAAGAGTGCCAAAAAACTAACTGATCCCATCTGGCACCGTTTGAACACTTTTACCATGTTTTCAATTGTCAAATTTGATCGATGCAGCCCCCTGCTGCAATATTTCTAACCGGAAGCATCACAACCATGATTGATGCATTGAACCACGCACAAGACAAGCAATTGAAAGAATGAGCATGAAACGTGAACACACCAGAAGCGCGGTTATGCCCCCGCTGACAGGTGAATGGATCGACGTGCTCAGTTTCCCGATGAAATTCGACAATAAAGCCTGAGGACAGGAACTAGAGTTGATATCCGCGATCATCGTGCTAAGCGACTGGGACACATCCTGCACCAAGTTAATAACCAATTCCATCTTGCTCAGAGTTCGCTAAAATAGTAGGAAAAATGAACCAATTAGAAAATCCTAAAAACAGTTTTGCGTGACCTAGACGGCCTCCAGCACGACCTTCGATGGACAATGCTGGGACTGGCCGGGTTTCCCTGGTTTTTTTTAACAACTCTGGTGGTTTAAAAAAAACGTGCTGAGTAATCGCAAAGTGAGTCAGTGTCGGGAATTGGTCATGTCGGAGACTGACACTACGACAGATTCATTGGGGTTTTTTCTGAAATAGCCAGCACAAGAAAAATAATTTTTACATGTAAAATTTTCACTTGATTAACTCCTGACTTTTCATAGCCAATAAAATTCACCATGTTAATCTCGGTTAACCCATTGCTTGCTGAGCGCCACTCGGAAGTTCTTCACTCGGTACCCGCTGATGTGGTGGGTGCATATTCCAAAAATGTGTTTTCGCTACATCGAACTCGGGGTGTCGTCAGTACGGAGGAAACATCCGCTAACAAGTACTGTTTGCATATTCCCGAATATCGCTTATGGAATTTAACAAGCGGCGTTTATATTATCGGCTTATCAGAAAATTTTCATGCCGATATTTTAAGTGCTTGATGGGAGTGATGACGACTGACAAAATGTGTGCTTGGGAAGAGAAAGCAACGCAACGACTGTAAGTAAATGTTACCGAGTAAAACAATTGGTGAGGTGCCAGTTATCGGCTGTGCAGCCTTTAGCTAGTTAGCGACGATATTCTATAGGAATTCAATTACGATAAATTCGTAGACCTATAAAAATGCCATCCGAGAACACGACATTAAGTTGGAGTTCACCACCTAAAATAATTTTTTTTAGAACTTAATGTAAGATAGGCGCATGCATCGGAAGTGGCTGTAAAGGATATGTTGAGGTTTAGAAGATCAAAAGTAAACGCAGATTTTGTTAATAATACCAGAAAGGCAACTAACATAACTAATAATATTTATAAATTTAAAAGTCGATTGCTTGTCAAAAGTGGATCTGTACTAAGACAATCGACGCTTATGATCGCATTAGAAACTATATGGACTATATATATCGGCTCATTTCATGTGGTCATAAGCAAGCAAATTTAGATTACTTTTAGATCAAAGACAACAGTTTTTTTTGAAATAGACAGATAAGTAACCGACAGGAGTTACGTACTTGACGAAGGATTGAAAATCTCTTTATCAAAATAACTAAGAAATCGAAATAAGATTGCTGATCACACAGGAAGATGTTCTACACGTGATTAATAAAAAAACGGAATTTTTTTTTTGAATGAAAAAATTGTTGACAAGATAAAAATTGGATTAGGTGGGGCTGACTCACAGTGACAATCTCCTTAACCGGCATAAATGAGATTATATTGGGAAGTTTTTCGCTGATTGTATATCGGACTTCTTCGGCAACAGGAAGTTCCTTTCCATCAGACTAAAGGCAATTAAATTAAGCCAATTGACTAAAGGTGAAGAATTGAGATATTTCAAAAGCAACTTGAGTGGGAAATGAATAAAGAAAGGTAGATGATTAACTTGAGCAAAAAGAAAACTACTTGTGGATAATAAACTACCTGAACATACTGTAAAGTAGTAACTACTAAATGCTTGCCATAATACAGGGACCATATCCAAGTGACAGTCATTAAATGTTTTAAAATGAGATCATTAACTCTGCATAATCTCTGCTAGCACATTGCAACCAGCCAAATGCTTTCACGAAGCACAAATTCCCACTAAAGTAAATTCGTACAATAAAGAACCACTCACATTCTTCGATGGTTTGAAATGATACGTTCGAGTAAACTGCCGAACCTGATTCCATTCATAATACCTGAAAAGTCATTTTGATAACTTTAACGACATGTATTCACAAAATATAAACAGATGATTGTCAAACACATAATATTCGAGATTACTACACCCTCAATTTCACACTACCACAGACTTTATTCAAGATGCAATAACTTAAACCACTGACGTGTTGGCAATCACCGAACGATTCCATTAGCACGTCCTCGCTTGCACTAAAGTGCTAATGACAGCAGCGCAATTGTATCTGCTTCGATTCGATGTTACTTTTTCACAACAAGTGACACCCACCTTATACGAATATCAGTGGTGTCTCGAAGTGGTCACCATGGATGGTCTTACAGAGTGGTTTACTGCAAGAGATCACCCTGTTTTCTGTGGCGCCAGATAACACCCGTGCGACCCCCACCACGACTACTATCTGCTTCCACTCAACGCTACCAAGTAACTCCTTAAAACGTGCATCGGTGCAAAGGTCCTCGTGTTCATGCATTCCTCGTCGATTGCTTCAGCAAAGCCTAAATACATTACCGACAATCGTGACGCCCATACTGATTTAAGATATGCTAAAAAGTTTACCGACACTATAACTGAACCCGAGAGTTAATTGTTGACACCAGGTGGACAATTTTGGGGCGATTACACGCAGTCAATACTCAAAACTAAAACCTAACAACAATTGGTGGTCCGCTGGCCGATGGTTAAATCTGACTGATTATTTAACCTTTCAAATCAGTCTTCCACGCAAATGTTGATTCTTCTTCACTATAGACTGTACTCTTCACTGATCACTTGATTCGGTGATTCGGACGGTGTTCATGCTCTCCCTCTTATGATACAAGGCTCACCATTATTTGCCGCAGCGGCCACCAAGTAATTTTAATTGTTTGCCCGGAGGAAATGGTGATTTATCTGCTCACTTAAAAGCTAGACTCCGTGGCATAAAATTACCTGTAACTAACCCACTACGTCCTACATCAATCCAGATTTTGTTAAAGTACAATTTTTTGTAGTACATATGACAAAACGGAATCCATTAGATTGCATCAAGCGTATTAAGGCATAGTCATTTCGGATTACTGATTGCAATCTGAACTACGCCAAGTGAAAACCACTAGGACCATTAGACTGATCGTTCGTATGCAAGATGAATTACCAATCAATATGAAAAGATGAGTGAGGAGTTGAAAAGATCGTTAAAAAACCGCCATGGTCTACCAACCACAAAAAATAAAACTGAGTATGTATAGATGGTAAACAAAAGAAGCTACACAAAGTAGATTGCAAATGGTGAGAATGAAGGGCTTGGGAAACTTACGCCTTAATGTTAGTCGAGAGATTTTCAGCCGCTGAACCAGAAGCCCAATTAGGAGGAAGCTCGGGGACGGGTTGAAGATTGCCAACCAATCGAATAGTGGGAACGTCGTCAGTGACTTCGGTCGTGACCGTGGTCAGTGGCCGCGGATTATTAGTTTCTATGTGGTATTCTGGAAACTGCTCGCAGAGGGTCATTTTTACATCGTTCAGCTGATTGAGCGTCCGGTAAACGACTGTTGACCCTATGAAGCCAGGAGTGCCTTGACGAGTTGAGAAATGCAGGGCGTAGTACTTGTAGCAGCACTGGTTCGGGGCCTCTCCGCCGATGAAACTGGCGTACAGTTGGCTCTGCTCGCTCTAGGTTACATCATTGCAAACCGTTAAGACAGACAACCGGGGCCAATAAAGTGCTTTTAGGAAAGCGCATCTACCTACAAATTGCAACCAGCAGTTTCTGGAACTAGGAATGAACAGGCATCCCCGATAACTAGAGATTAGGTGTTTTGCAATTAAGAAACTGAACCTACATTCAAAAGGTTTGAAAACAAAGCGTTCGTACGACGGTCAAGTTTGAAAATTAAGTTTGATTTTTAGACTAACAGCCTAGTGATGCTTTCAAACATTTACCTAAAGTTATGTAAATTAACACATGCTACTTCCACCAATGCGATTCCTGCTTTTGATTCGTGAAGGAAAACACACTGACCTAAAAATGTTAAGGACTGCAGTTCGGACTTAGAGTAGGATTAATTTCCAAAAGCTTACGAGAATGGAACTCAGGCTAGTGAAGTTGGCGGTCACATCCCGGTAGAAGACGATGAGCTGGTCGCAAACCTCGATCGCTCGTTTCCAATCACCACCCAGTTTCAGGTACTTGAGAGCGTCCAAAAGAAGGGCTTCCTTCAGGGTTGAGGAGGAGACACTTCCCAGATTGGCGTACCGGGCAGAAACCTCGTTTATGTCTACTGGGTTAGACGACCACTAAAATATGAACAAATTGTAATTGTCATCTCAAACACTATGCACGCCTTTTGAACTCGCCAACGCACCTGACCAAACACCCATTGAACACACACACAGACACTCCACAACTTGCCATTTATGCTTTTTTTATATTTGCTTGTTCACAGACCGGGAAACGATCATCATTAAACACAGCAGTACAGCCTAGACGACTAGGTGCTCTGATGAAATGTCACCCACTCCGGCGAAATCTTGGTGTGAGGGGGACGCAAGTTATCAGTTTGGTTACGGAAGTCCACAGGGCGATTTGTGAAACCACTTGGAATGCTGATCTTGAGAATGTATGGTGAAGGTACAAAAAACGACATTAGCGCCTGAGTAGAGCTTAAGAACACGGTCCTATTAACCCGATTGGGTGGGTCCAAAAATGTCTCAGAACGATGAAGACTTGTGTTCGACAGATTTGCTTGATTGGTTGATACATTTGACCAACAGAAAAAAAAACTTACGAAAATGCGAAATTTTTCTCAGCGAACTGGCGACTTTAAGGTGGCCATCTGAGAGATTAAGTTAGATTTAACAAAGCAGGTTAGAAGAGCCAAATTTATTGGCAGACGGAATTTGGTGACTTTCAAGTGACGGTGCGTATTGTTTTAATTACTTTTGTTTGTTAAACTGAAAAAGTGGTGTGTTTGCGAATTTAAAACACAACAAGAGGGTTATGGTAAAAGCAATTCACCAAGGAGAGATCAACAAATTCCCAATGCTCACATTGTACTGTCCGCTAATTCGTTCAAGAGTATAGCCCCGTTCAACATCATTCTCAGACTGTTCGTGTAATTCTTCGAGCTTGAAAAGATACCGAATTGTCATATCCTTCCGCTTGATCGATTCGTAATAGGTCTGGAAGGGAAAGGTAGAGGTTGTGGAAAATAATCATCAGAAATGAGACAGAAATCGGGCTTGCAATTCCGGTGTTTGCAAAAACCATACTCACAATGACCCATTGTAAAGAACACCACGAGGACAAGTATAAACGCCTAGACAAGGGCCCTTGTAAAAAAAAACTCGCAGTGACTAAGTTTTGAAATCGCGGAGAGATCACGCCGTACATGACTTCAAGAACAAAATAGCAACGTCAAAAGGATAGGGTGTCACTTACTCACGGTAAAACAAAGCGATACGAACTTGAGCAAAAAATCAAAAGAAAAGACGTTTAATCTAGCACTTTCTCAGTACTGCATTTTAGGCGCAAAAAAAGAACTAAATAGCCCTGGGTTATCGTGAAAATGATACCATGTCCATTTTTGCATAGTCTATCCTTACCCTTAAATTATTTATTGCCAGCATTCCGCTTAGCTTCGATCGTCTGGTAATGACTTCGCTGTACTCGCGAAGGTAATTGATTTGTCGAATCATGTCACCGAGGATCCGATTTCGCGATTTCTCCGCGGTAACAGAAGTACTTGAGGAAGAGGCTTTCACGGGCACACCTCTATGCAAACCAATCGAGGGTCGTCGGCCGATGCTATCCATTGCGCCTTCAGGCATTTCGGTCTCAAGAAGGCTCAGCATCTCGAGAGCGTACTCAGGAAGTGCCCAGTTCATTATCCTGTCAACCTCCCTAATAAGGAAGGGCTCCGCGGCAAGGGGATTAACACGAAGCATGTCGACTAGCATATTAACGCAGAGCTTACGCAGTTCTAAAAGAAAAGCAAGCAAAATACTGCTTGGTAAATACAGAAAATTTACAATTTAAACTCCTCTATTAAGCGCAATGGACGCACTGACTTTGAAATTCTTTGTGAGATCTTGACTAAATGCGAATACATTAATGTAATTAAACAGGAGGGCTTCAAATAACGACAGCGAATTCGCAATACGAATATAGTGCTTCAGGTAAAGTAGGAGATGGTCCTGAGAGTACCAAAGCATAATATCCAATGATTTAAGTCACGGGTTCTAACAGTTAAGAGGATTAGATTTGGGGCTAGGCTTTAGTGCTAGTTCGACTGACGCTACTATAATAGATCCTTGTACATACACGACACCTCATAAATAGGAAAAATGGCAAAATGCATAACCTCAAGGGGACAAGAACGCTGCCCATTGCTGGTTTGCATCTTTTGTGCTACATGGTACACCCATACTTTGATTACACAAAAAATTCAATTTTGGATAGAAAAGACGTTTGTGTTTATGTACCGATGGCAACCACCTTACCTGTAACGGGTTCAGTTGACATGTTCAAGACTGTAGGGATGAAATATTCCAAATAGCTTGCTTGATGAACACGACCTAAAAGAGAGTGAAGAGACTATCACCATAGGTTAATAAAAGGCTTGCGTTTCACTTCAAGGCATCTAAGCTACATCATAATCAAGAGTATCTGGATTCCGATTCCTCAAATGAGAAAAATCAGCCCAGTTCAGGCGTTGTAAGATTCAGCTGCACTGTGGATGGCCACTACCGACACAATTCGTCTAACATCTAACAGAAACATCAAAATCATACATTAGCACCCCACCAGTAAGCTTTAACTTTTGTCAGGCTCTATAGCAGCAATTACCGATGGATTCCCACAGCTGTTCCAGCAATCGGCCTGCTGACACTCGGAGATCACCAAGACAGCCACTGAGTAGACGCGGTGCCGTTGCAACCATCGTGATTGTGGGAAGTTCTTCAAGCCACAGATGAGGCTGAAGAGTGATAAAGCTACCTAAGCATCGCTGCATGGAATTGATGAGAAGACGCGACTTTTGGTGACCAGCATCGAGTTTGCCAGAGGAAGATGAATCATTGCACATGAAGAAGCGCCGCAAGCAGACCTCAAAGATGACCTCCATTGTGCGCAACTCCACGGTTGACTGGAGAGCCAACATCTCAACCCAGGGCTGTTCTCCCCCCACTTCCGTCGCTAGTGGACTGACCAAGTGAGTTGGTGGGTTGTGGAATTTGAAGGGTCTGCAGAAACCAAGCGGCAAGTCAATAGTGCAATCAGAAATGCAAAGGAAGGCCTTGCGATTAGAGAATGATTAATGATAACGCATATTACTTGAAACCAGCAGCCGACATTTCTACAGAATTCTATTTGAGCCGTTCAAAGTGAAAGACCACCACGACCACCAACGCAAAGGCACAAAAATCTGTGTCGAAAACGAGCACACAGTTGAGCGGCACCCGACTAGTTTACTTGTTCGCACAGTCATTGCTTCTGGGTTCTGCAATGACAGCTTCGATAGGGTGCACATGGTTCGGAAATGCAGCCAGTTCTTGCGCATGGCTTAAGATCAAACACCCACACTCAAAGCACGCGAGTCCACAAAACAAGGCATACAGTCAGCAGCAAGGTCATGTGGCACGACAAGTTTGCTTTGAATTTTAAGGCATCAAAGATCACAATTCCACTTGAGTTCTAAAGTTAAAGGTTGCACGAGAAAAGCAAACGCAATCACAAAAAGGTGGAATTGGGAACACATTTGCTTGGGTAGATGCGAAGTAACAAACTTTTTTTCATTTAATTTTTTTTTCAAAAACAGACTTTATTGATAATTGTGAATGCTACTCAAACTACACAGTTATTCTAAAAAATATGTTTTAATTTTGATTCCCATTTATAATTAAGGACTAAGTGAAAATTGGACTCCATTTACTAAGCCGATTAAGACATCTTAGTGGTCTTAATTTCTAAAAAAATCGTGTCTGTTGTTATCAAGATAACAAAATTGCAAAAATTATAATCAGGGAATCGGCACTTCTGAGCAAACAAATACTCAGATGATGCACTGGCCACACTGATAGGTCAAAAAAGAAAAAGCGGATATTATAAGGCATTTAAAATCAAAACGAGTTCTATGCACAGACAATGGTCACTCAGCCATTTTAATTGGTGCACCAAAGCTACACACCACAGAAGGCATACTCTCTGCTCCCTGGTGGACAGTGGGTCTGTGAATACGGCGTCGCAATGCGCTGTGTTCAGGTACGAGGCGTACAGACCGGCAAGCAATAATTACCCGGGGAAGCAGCCCATGACTTATGGCTGCGCGCCAGTAGTGATCCTGTTGTGCAAAGCTATTTTTAACCGACTCGGGGGCAACGCAGGTCCACAAGAGGAATCATGTGGTTGCGGTGTTAATTTGGAAGCCACACACATACACACCACCTTTCCGAATTAGAAAAAACAGAACGCAAGAGGCAAGGAAAACATATTTGAACCTGGAATATAAATTCATTAAAATGGTGAATTTGGACATTCCGTTCCCCAAAATGTTTGCTCTGGGTAGACTATCAACACAAAAAAATGCAAACTCGGTAGGTGGGGAAAAGTTCACTTAAGGAATGGGTTTATCTTATTTAACTAAGAGCCAAGACTTTGTGGTAGCGAGAAATTGCGAAGACAGAAAATTAGTCAGATACACAGAGAGGTAGTTAATATCAGCGAAACATTGGAGCTAGCAGGGCACACCATCAGATGCCCGGTGAAAATAAGGAATCAGTGAGAGAAAATTAATAGTGTTCGTTTTGTGCAGCAGATTAGGACTCGGGCTAATTTGGTAGAAAACACTAGCCGCGATGGTTTAAGAGAACAAATGAGGAAAAACCATGAACTTACCCGCACAGGTGGATTGCAAAAGCAATCGCGAAATCTACCACTAAGGAGCACGTGGGAGGCAAAACTTAACTATCAACATCACCGAGCCAAGTGATCTTGACGAAAATACCTGTTAGTGCCGTGAAGTCCAGGGTAGGCAGGCCACGAGTGCGAGAGTAGAAAGATGAAGAAAAGTTCGTGCAAAAAATCAACGGTGTCGGTGAGTTCAAGTCCCACACAGGTGGCGCAAACGCAATTGAGGCGCGGTTGCTGCTTCGGAGTGAGAAGCGCCTCCCAGTCGGCGGGTTTAAGTTGTTGCAGAATGCTCGTGAAGACACTCGCAAGGCAGCCCTGAAACGGTCACGATAAGAAATAAGAAAGTGACAGAGGTCTCCTATAAACAATGGTCGACAAAACGATTTGCAGTGGCAGACAACTTCTTCATGGGGGGCGAGTTTTAGCTTTGGGTTCTAGGATTTTCGATTTGCTTTAATCGAAGATTAATACATATAGCATTAATAGGATTTACGAAATATAATACTTTCGGGCATTACCAATATTGAATCAACAAAATGCAAATTTAGACTAACAATTTAACTTAAACAAGTGTTATCTTGTATGAGTTACAATATGTCGACAAATTCAAATGCGGACTGGGTCCTCAAACGATGCCTGTTTCTGTGTGTTAGACAGGCTTGTTTATTGTGTATCAGTAGATCTATTTGGTTGTGCTGGTTGCTTAGTGCAAAAGGAGGTTGCTTAGTGCAAAAAGAGGAAAGATAACTTCTGCGGCAAGAGCGAATTTAAAAACGTGAACTAGTAATTGCCGAACAAGGTCTCACAATAAGTACGCCACCGACAAACATTGTAGAAGATCGTTGCAAAGCAACCTATACAAAAGACTCATCGTTTATTTAAGACTTGAGATCACAGTGTCATTTCGTGCGGTAGATTATAAAGACAGCTTTGACACCTGTTCTTACGCGCTGTACCACATGCCTTTGAAAGTGAGGCCTCGTGAAGGAAAAGGTGAAGAACTGTCAAAGTCACGTTCTACTGCCGCTGATTGCGACAGCAAAAACTGATTCGTGTGAATTAGGTTATCTGTGCTGACCGCTGAGTTGAAAGCTGTCTTTCTGATGACCTGGCTCCTACCAGTAGTGAGCATCAACCACTATGAATTATAACCCAAGTTGGAGAGACAATCGTGTGAGCTTCAATGTGTGCATGAAATTAAAGTAACATTATTCAAGGGAATTATTAGAAACAAAAAGGTGTCACGAAGCGAACTTTCTCCATGTCATCAAGTTACTGTGAGAGAAAATATGTTCACTTACCAAAACTGCTTGTAAATACAGGAAACGCGCCTTCGCGGGAGACTGGGTGCTGAGTGGAACTTGTCCCGTGTTTGGCATCAATTCAGATGACGCAGGACGAGAGTTAGGTGTTGAAGAGGATGTCTTTTGAAGAGAGATTAAAACTCGTCCGTATTGCTGCATTATCCATCGCAGAAGGCCTTGTTGGACAAAGTGATCGTGAAACTCGGGGTGTGTGGAAGTGCAGCCACCAACACCGTCCTTTGCGGAGGCATTCACAGTTTCCACAAAACGCTCCATGAAGAGAGTGAGGATATTACAGAAATAGGTCATCATGGAATTTGTTTCAGATCGAGAAGGCTCTAACGTCTGAGAGAAAGACGGATTAAGGGTTGATTCAAAATATCCAACTCGTCTATACGCATAAAGCCAACAAACTCAACTTCTTCGTCGTTTTGTGTCCCACATTGTAGCTTACTTTTGAACTATCCCTTGCATATAATTGACAATAAGTGCGACTAATCTAACTTGTGGCTATAAAAATTCTATAGTTTCAAATATGTGCTCCGCTAAACTATCGTAATATAGTACTGCGTAAATATGACAATGGAATACATAGGAGATGTCGCGATCCAAATTTGATTCGTTCTCTTGTTTGTTGACAGGGAATGGGCCATTACGGCCTTCATTTAAGCTGACAGGATACTTCACGCGAAACCATGCACTGCTTGACGCAGATGATTATTGAGCACAAAAGTGATCTGGCGATAATGTAAGAAAGATCTTGAAGGCAAAAATACATCTTCATCGGAATGACCTACCATAAAAGGCGAGAATAATTTAAAGGCTGCGATGGCGATCGCCATTTGAGGGTGGAACAACACATTTTAGCACTGATACATTTTATTGGCCTCAAATTAAACAGAAGCCCGTTAATCAGAAACAGTACTACATGGAGTGTAAGAGTTTAGGGGACCATTTCCCATCACAGACTACTTTTATGGAATTTGTCAAGGCAATTTTCATTATTTTGGGTCTGTACGGACACACATTTCTATACCGATCAATGACACTAAAGTGTCACACAATTTACTTGGCGGGATTGAACACGTGGTAGGGACAAGCTGTTGTTACCAAAAATAGCATTAATTCGTCTAAATATTGCCTACAAACGAGGCTAAAAATAACTATCCACAATGGACTGTCCAGCTTTTGCTCTTGTGCTTGGCGAATGCGCAGTAAATCGCAAAAAAACGTTTACTTACCAAATCGAGGTTTGTGCTGAACAACCTTTTCAAATTTGTGATGATTGGCGGAAGGAGGACCTTCCGAAAGTCTGCATCCTCCATGAGGACGGATCTGAGGCAACCACTGAGGATGTTGTGGTTGGGCAGATTGGGACACTGCATTGTGCACTGCACTAGACGCTCGAGGTAGTGCGTTAGGCTGCGCTGGGGGTAAACACGGGCCAGGGGGTCAATGGTCTCCGAGATGTGCTTAAAGATGTGACTCTAGGCGAAGAAAACAAAGCGATGCATGGTAGGTCAACTTAAGTAACAACAGGACGATTTGCAGCTTCAATCAAACGTATGGAAACGAAAACGATTGTAAAATTGATATAAGGCCATTGAATGCACGAACAGTGACGTTTTTAAAAGCGATGTTTTGGAATGAAAAAGTTGGAATAGTGATCATGTTGTCCACGTTAAATGCAAGCAGGCCTTGAACAAACTAGTAAACTTTCCGCTTGCCCTACTTAGGGGTTGGCGCTTCCGAGTTAGAAAGAATGGTTAATTACGCACTGGGTTTTATCGGTGGATTTTGGACCGAGGTGTGGTTCCATGACATAGAGTGGTGCATTCACGACATCGTAAGCATTTCAAGGATAGAACAATGTAAGGGCCGAATACGACACGACACAAGGCACACAGAAGCTCAAGTACTGGCGTGAGTGCGTTTATTTACTGAATTTCCAAATCAGAAACCTAAAATCTGCAATATACCAGACAGCAAATCAGCACATTAATATGCTTGGCAAGGTGTTTTACATGATGAAACGCTTTTTGTGAAAAAAGAAGCGGGGTGTATCACACTCAAGGACTTTGAAGATGGATAAAGTTGCAACTGTGCACTTGAGAGGAAGTTTGTGGAATGCGACGAACGAGGAATCGGGTATGGAAGCGGGGATATTACGATAGACACAACGGCGCAATACCACTGAATACTAACAACGTTTGCTTATAGGGTTGGCTATAGAACCAGGGAATTAGTGGGGTTTTGATCGCAAGGATTCATGGGAAAAGCAGATTCATAGCAACGCAAGCTACAACAATAAGGCCTAAATAAACGTGTGCAAAATTCTGGCTATCCAGACTAAATAAATTAGAACCAAAAGTCTCATTATTAAAGTTGAAAATAGCACTTTAGAAGCGCGCACGACAAAAAATGTCACTAAAGATGGCTAAGGATGGGCAAATGACCACTGGCAGTGCATTCATCATCGTCCCGAAGCGCCATGTGACAGACAAGAAATGACGATAGGTGGCGTTGCATTGCACGGGATGGGTGCAAGAACTGTTTACTTATTATACCTTGCAAATTTCGATCGATAAATCCGCCTGAAATGAAGGTAAACTCGCGCCGGTGCAAAATTCACATTTTCGTGGACTCCTCGTTAGGAATGGGTCTTTAACAGTTCCAACCGTTTAAAAGAACATACTTTAATTGGTGAGAATGGATGAATGAAGGATTTTCAATTCAAGATAACAAAATCAATCAATGCGTGAAAGGCGAAGGCAGAAATAAAAAACAAATATGAACAAAAAGGGATGCCTTTACAATAACAACAAGTGCGAAATTGCAGTCGTGACATGGTTTGTCGCTAAGGTGGTAAAAACGAGCATACTTTTAGAAGTTGGTCGTTGCCCGTGACTGCCACGTCTAAGACAGTGTCGAAGAACGTGTCCACGGTTTGGACGAAGCGGTCTTCGGTTTCTTCAAGCATTCTGGGGTCTTCGGCAGCCAATGTTTTCTTTTCCAGTTCCTAAATGAGGAAATGCATTCGGCCTGAGCAAGGACTTAGTCCATTAATTGTCTGCTCTGCCAAGGACAGCTACATATACTGGCAATAGGGGTTATCTAACGAGATTTTTCTGTTAACGATAAATGAGCCATTTTCAAATTCACTCGTTTGACTTTAGTCTAACGCCTCACATTTTAACAGCGCACGGCACACAAGAACAACGGACAGTAAGATCAAACGGTGGAATTGCGGCAGTTACTGTCGAATACTATCAACTTATCGGTGAGTTATTTAAATACGAGACCAATCAGAATCAGCTACCTCTCAGGGATTTGTACACAAAGCCAAAAATTTCAATCGATTAAGATGATCATCACTTTAGGTCAATACCAATCTGAAATCGCGCCATTGTTCAACAAGGAACAGCAAACAAGTACAGGAAGTACCTACTCAGTCTTGTGCACCAGTTTCAACAGCGCAATGACAGTTACTTAAACAGACTTCTCTGATTTAAAGAAAAAAACATCTGATTGGTTTATCAGGCCTGTGAGCCCTTTTTATTCTGGCCAATGAGGATACAGACATGTTGCAGTCAAATACCTTGTACTAAAAAGCAGAGATTTCGAAGGCTACTTTAAACAGTGAAAATACGTATCTTTCCATCGAATACAATCTTCTTACTACACATTCACCTCCAGAAAAGATGCCACTTCATCATGCCACCAAAAATTGCCTGTCCCAAACCGCTGTACAACAACCACCGTTAATACTGCTGTTTCGCTATCAGTTAATTTGAGGAGCGTGAAGCTCGGTACCACTTAGTCGTATTATTTGTTGTTTTAGATTTGGTCACAAACGGAATTGATCGCATTGACAAAAATGACTGAAGATGTGACTACGAAGAATTTCCCCGAGAGTAACTGTGCAAAGACCGCTCTGAATTCCTAATACAATTAGTATATAACCATGAATGGCGTACTTACGCGAGACTTGGAGATAATACGGAAGGCCCACTTAAAGGTGGTGCAGATTTTGTTAACATCGATGAGCCCGCCCTCAGTGAGGGCGGTCGCTGAAGTGTCGCGTGGGCGGGCACTGGCCGACAGCAGTTCAATGAACACCTTGAGGTAATGAAGGTGCAGCCCTGAATAGTCGAAGACAGGACTCTCTAGGAACCGCTCCAGGAGGTCTGACGCTGCCGCATTGTTGATCAAATCTTTGTAGACGCGGGTCAACAACGCTACCGTGAAACGATGGAGCTCCTGTACGTGCATCCTGGCCTCTTCTGTCTCGTTCGTGGAGAGGATTTGAAGAAGACAATCAATTAGTTGGATACGGAACTAGAGGAGATGCAAAACAGTATCTAAATGAGTACTCATCCAGTATATACATCTGAAAATATCGAAATGTGTTCTCAGGTGAGAGTAATTACTTGTGCCAAAGTGATGACAAGTGAGACTTTGGCCAATGAGCGATTAATCCTCGAATAAAAAACAGCCGAATACGCCAACACAGCACACATAGAAAGTAGCATTTAAGATTAAAGAAGGTGCGGTATGGGGGAGCCAAATTTTAGACTTTCGTCATTGTGTGCAAAACGATAAACAATGCATCTCGTGGGAATGACACTGGCGACCGATCTCTGGTTCCCTTCAGACTTTTTGACATCAAAGTGTAAAACTAACATCTTACTGTCGTAAGTTTGCGTATTAAAGTAAAAAGGTTACACCACTTATGAAGCAGGGTAAATTTTGTTTTGGACCTGATTACACACTACTTTGTTGGAGGTTCGGCATCCCCAAGGCTACATCTGTCAAGGTTTTGAAAATTGTCCATAATATTGTAATCACTTGTGTTTATGCACACCTACTATTGTACTCATTTTGGCCGTGACGTTCCTATCGTTCCATTCACCCTTGGATATACTTTTACCCTCACATGAACTCAATGCTGCCCACGCAGTACATGAGTGGGCGCATCTTAACGTGCATTGGGCCTCTGGCTGAGGCAGAAAAAGCCATCTGGACGAGGTCCTGTCTGGACGTAGTAGGGGTGGTGCGCTGACTCATACGTGCTTTGTCTGGGTGCTGCTTGTGCGGGGGATGCCATTGGTGGGCTGAACAAGGGGGCCTCGACCGTGGTTTTGCCTTAAGTGCACCGGGAAACCGGTAAACAATGCACGGGCTAAGCAATTGGGCGGGTTGGTGTACCTGAGAATAGGCTTGGATTTTGATAATGCACTTTAAGCGTCGTGGTACGAAGCAACTAGATTTTGTGTTGCGAAAACGGCATCCAAGATGAACGCACTCGATTCAAGGAGCGATTGAAAAAAAATCCGTCTGAACTGTAACAAACACGGCACCATAATAACACACGACTACTACTAAAAAAACATTGAAAACCAATGCTGGGTATAAAAGGAAGTAGTAATGTTAAGGAAATGCACATGAACAATGAATTAATAACGATTAGTAGGTGACAGAGCTGTGGACATTTTCGCTGGAAGCACACAAAATCTATAAATGAAGCCCACCTTTTTCAACTCATGCTCCTTGTCGGCATACGTTATGAGTCGCTTTAAGCAAAAGACAACGTCGTCAACGTTCTCCCTCCAGGAGAGAATTTTCGCCAGGTGCTCTATGAAAAAAAGTAACATTACGCAGATGCAGCACAGAATGAAATTGATGGATATAAATAAACACCCACGTGTATGCATAAAGAACAGTAAAAGCGGTAATATGAGGGCGAGTGAATCAAACACACGACATTCAAATTCTGTAGTGCTTCGTTTGACTTTCCACATGGATACCGTTGATAAGGAATAACTAGCTTGGATTAGGTAGACGTTTTACAAGTAGACCACTTCGGTCTGGTATAAACCCAAAAGGCAGCAGTGGGGTTCAAATCAGAGGAATAAAATTAACGCAATCTTCGAGATACGTTAATTAAAATGACGCGTGGTAAATTATCGAAGTGTCTGCTGTTCGGTAGTTTAAAATCAAGACAATTCATGTAGACATAATGGAGGATTAGTTCATATTTTAATGTGACCGAAGCTCAATAGAACACTCAATCTGTATTAACCAGATTTAGAGCCGTCATAGTTTCGCCGCGTCTAGTAGCTCAAAACGCGCAAGCTTAAACATAAAATTTACACAATTTAAGCTGCGGTAGCCTCGTTTTAACCAACGATGCATTGGAAAAGTCTAAAAAATCCCAAATCCAAAGCCTACCACAGCACTAGATGCCCTAAGGTTAAGAAGCTATTCGATAGCCCACTAGTCCTTCTGCCTAAGACATTCGACAAATGTAAGGCAAGATGTTAAGCTAACATTATCAGATTGAAGGACCAGCAAAATTCCGTCTGACGTCAAGGCCATTAGAGGGCTTGTAAACCACACTAAATACGCGTTGCTAAAATGCACCAAAATGTGCACACACACACACACACCTACACCATCAGCGCTCTGTGTAAAAAATCTAAACTGTCCAACAGCTGTCGTCTCAAAACCCCACCATAAACAGACACTGCAGTCAAGCGGTAATCACGGCCTGTAAATGAAGTGAGGCAGGTAGGTTGCTAACGCTGAGACAGCGACGGGACTTACCATTTTAAAATGGTGGGTCAAACTATTTTTAAAGGTAAAACCTTTGAACGAATTAACCGATTAGTGCACACTAATTTGTAACCTCCGCTTCTTTAGAACGTAGAGGGAATGTGCTTGCTAAGTGCTCAACATTTTAGAATAAGCATAAAACATACGCTCAATATAGTACACTGAAAATTGCTAGGGCATTTCATATTGGTTAACATCACGAAGTCTAGCAGATTTCATAAAATGGAGAAAAAACGCACTAGAACGGTGGATCATTGTGAACTAATGCCTTCGTGGTCCTAAATGGTGGGCAGACATCGAATTTGCGAAGGCCACTGGAAAACAATCGAGCGCTGGAACACGCGAATGGGCGCCGTGCAAAGTGCACCCCTTTAGGATGCGGCTTTTGTGACGGAACTCCACGCGGTGATCGCGCGACCGCCACAGAACCAATCGATGTGGTTCGGTTGAGCGCACTGCAGCTCAGTGGTGCATAACTGCGACCAAGTTTAGTATACCTGGCTTATGGTATAGTTGATCAGGGCGCTTGATTGCCAACGTGCGTTCAAGGGCTTTGATTTGCACTTGTCTGCGCACAACTCCAAGTATTTATGAGCCCCAGGGAAATTTTAGCGTGAAGATATAGTCCACCATATAACATCACTTACCGTCATTTGTGTATTGATTGCTGCAGAGTAGTGTGCTGATATTCAGCATATCCGGTTGCTTGCCTATCCGATTAGAAAAGCCACTTGCCATTGAAGTGAAAATGTTGGCAGCCATTGAGGAATGGGAGGAGTTGTTCTCGATTTTTGAGAGACCAGATCCCTTGTTTCCAACACTACCAGAACTGCTAATGCTGCCGATTCCTTCAAAGGCTATGGACTTCTCATTCAAGTACTTGCATTCGCTGATTTCCTTCTCGTCCATCTGTAGTCAAATTGGGCAGTTACAAAGTAAGCCAAATTGAGAATGACGCATTTGTGGAAACAGAGCCATAGGGTAATGTAGAGAGCGGATTGCGTTCGAGAGTGTTAGATTTGCAAGGAGCAGGCAGAAGACATTAAGGAAAATTTAATTCCAATGGCCACCAGGTGTATTTGCTGCAGATTTCATCTGTTATAAAAAGGGAATTTATTTAGAGTGTTTGGCACCTGACTTAGAATCACTAGCAAAGGAAAGCCTTTGTAGGCAGGCCTTAACAACTTTCTTGAGAAATACCTTACTCAGTCTGTTAAACCAATATCCACATTTTCGACTGCTACTGCTAAGAGTGAAGTGGGATGTGTAAGTTTGTGGTGGTACATCTAAAATCTAGAAGCAACAGGCTCTTAGTTAGACTAGTTTTCTCCAAATAGTTGTTTGTGAAGAAAGTAAATGACGCCATCAAAAGCGCGGTTCCCAGGCTTATTCAAAAGCCCTTAAAAATTAGAAAGGACGAGCAATTTTTTTTGTATTTCGCCACCAATTTGTGAATCAAGTCAAATCAGTGGGTAGTAACTCGCCAAAGTCGCCGTGTCGAATGATACGAAGTTGAGACCATAAACACAGACAGCACACGAAACCCCACACACCGAATGTGCACGTAGGCGGTGTGACTGCGGTCAAGTGGAAATAAACCAAATATTTATGTGCACACCAAATAACCTTGTGGTGTAAATCGCAATGGATTAAGCATCGGCGTAGTAAAAAGTCTGAGCCTCTTAATAAGCGCCTAAACAGCAGGTTTGGATTTAGCAGCTGTAGAATACGAGATTAAAATCATGTGCACAAAAAATGTTGGAGCATCTGCAAACACATTATCATTACAGAAGGGAAGGACTAAACCTCACTTGCCTTGTGTATGAAAAGGGAGTAGTCGCCGTCTTTGATAAGGGTCTGCTCATCGGGTGATCGCAGGGGCAAGTAGGCCACACCAAGAACTTTCTCCCGTGGTTCTAGAACGAGCAAAATTCAAATCAAACGATGTCCGTGATCGTGGAGAGATTTTTTCATAGAGAGCTTATGGAAATCTTGGGAAGATTTACTAATAGCAAGGTAAAACAAGTTAAAACGAGGAATCGGAAAATCAAAGTACAAGTAGCTAACTAACAGAATATTTTGTTAGCTTGGAGACACTCAAAGTGGTGGAAATAGTGTTTCGATGGCCGCGCTCTGCTGGTAGGTGGCCACCATATCAAGGAAAGAATTCGCATTTGCAAAACTGGTGATTATAGACCGATTAAGAAAAACCTTTGAAACCATCGTAGCAACAATCTGCAAACCAGGTGGTAATGCAGATTAATCCTCCCGAATAAGCTGACAGTTCTAAATCACCACGTCCTCCAGTACGTGCTAACAATGCAATGGTGCGTTGTTAAATATAAGGTTTACAGGGCAACAAGCTGGAACGCGAATGCGCGGTTATACGTTGCATACCAGAGTCAGACGTTTTCTTGTCGTCCTGGCGATGAAATGAAGAGGGACTTGGTGAACGGAGCCATCGAAGTTGACTGGACCTGTTGAGGCTTCCGCCAACCACGGCTACAGGAAGACAATTTCTCAAACGACGCAAATTTTGTCTTCAAAACGTTAGCAGTTTAGTGAGATAGGGCATTCCCGTCGAGGTTAGGCTCAAATGGACGCATGTTAGGACCGGGGCGGGGGTTAATTTTGACTGACATGATGTCAGTAACAAAAATAGTTCAAATAAATTAACCATTACGTGGGAAGCAAATGCGAGGGGAGACGCAGCGATTAGAAGGTGAAGTAAAATATGTCGGAGTAATATTTAGTTGGATGCTGCCAAGCGAAAATACATGCTTTGAATGGAAGGCGAATGCCATCGACAACAAATCTGAACCTGCGACTCCTAATGGGACAGGCAAGGCGTTTCCTGATGATGGTTCGGCAAAGGAACTCTGAGTTAACCGAGAGGTGGGCCTAACGAATCACGACTAAACACACATTTCAAACTTCGCGTCACATAAACTGCTATTTGACCATTCGAGCCACCTTCTTGATAGCTATTGCAAGATAAATAAAGCCACGGCCATAACACATAAAGGGGATGACTAAATATACAATTATGTCATCCGACAAAGTAGTTTTTAGCATGCAAAGGCAAACACTGACGGCGTAGAACTAATGGACGCAAGGAGCGGTTCACATGACGTTTCGAAACCAGAGCTTCGCGTCTCATCTGAATAGCAGACTTGACAACGAAAATGGTCATTTCTACTTACGCTGCCACTTATAAAATACGCCAAATGACGACAGATAAGCAGGTAGGCACAAGATACCCAACATAAGACCAATAAATTGAGGGCTGCTTAAGACATCGGAATGGCAGATTGCACTCACATCCTTTCGCCATATCAGTTATTCCTAGGATTTCGACAACCTCACTCTGAGGAAGGAGAGTAGAAAGGTCGAAAGAGTAAAGGGAATACTTATCACAGGTGGGAGACCAGCTTGCTTCATACGTTGGAATCAATTAATTTGACAAAACTGACAAAAAGGTATCAGTGGTCTAGAGCTAAGTCCGTCGTGAAGCATCCTTGATCGCTGAACACATTTGAAAAGCGATTAAGGCATTTTCGATGAACAACAACTAAAAAGTTGTCTCAAATGTCCTGATCCAGTCAATCTTCATTAAGTAACCATAACCGTGTAAAGTTCTGAGGGGTCTGGCAATGCCAATCCCACGAAAACTGGGTCACAAACTATGGCTGGAATTTTCCACACAACGGTGTCTCGATTGAGCTTTCCTCCAAGTACAAAGTATGGGGGTGAATAAACGAAAACGATAGATGGCGAGGCACCAAACTGCCATGCAGCCTTGTGCATGCAATTAGCCGGCGGAAATGCGAAATTTAAGAAAACTTTGCTAGTGAGTGTGTGTGTGTGTGTGAAGTATCCAAGATACACAAGCACCCTGTAAGGGCCAGAAATGCTGCAGGATGCCTGATTAGCAAACAACAAGAGTTTCGACGCAGACATCTGATTGCAATAAAGTATGAGTTATAAAAAACTCTTCGCATGCGCCAACGGACACATTAACCGTAATGCGAGTTAACCGCCAGCTGATAAGAGTACGCATAAAGGAAAAAAATTCAGCTGCCTGATAAGCAGCTCGGCAGAATAGAAGTGACGGAGGAGATCTTATGCTATCACTTGTAAAAAAATGACAAAGGTGATGGTGGCCTACGAAATGCAGACATTTAAAGCATGAGCAAGCAAGAACCGATGCTGCGGCTACGCGACTGGGTTGCATGGATGAGCCTACCGAAATCGTAAGCCACTCTTCCATCGTCCCGGAACAAAGATGGACTCGGACTCCTGAACCACCGACTCCTTCCGGATTTACTCCCACCTGGGGCTAATAACAGAAATTTAATGGTGAAAAAGGCTAGGAAGCCTCGAAGTGCAGAGAAAGGAGATGCGGGGTAGCATGATAACAATTTCCAAAAAAATAAGAGATACGCTGGTTGAGAATTAGGGTCCAGGTATGTCTTTATTCACAATGGCGCTACGCTTGACCCTAGAAATTCCGGCCTCTTCCAGTAGAGGCAAGGTTTGGGTCCTGAAGAAGAGAAACTAACTTGGCCTATTTGTGCAAAGCTTAGAACTCCAAGGCAGGATATTTTCGGTGCAGTTCTATTGAATAGGACCACAAGTCCGTTTGTTTTAGTTTAAGTGAATTTCTCGCGTTACTTATTTTTGGCAAAGTGCCGCGTGTACCATCATCTGTCTTCTGAAAATATGGGCATTCAGTTTTAGCCCCAATAATTGAGTGTCAACTTGGCAAAAATCCACATCTCCGACACCAAATACGCTTTGCGTCCAACCGCGGTGCTAAGGCCACGGACGATTATCGACATTTGTGAAGTCTACGAAGAAGGCACCATTATCGAGCGAGAAACATAAAATTAACCAAAATCAAGATCAGCTATTTCGATCTCAGTAAAAACCCTTTCTAACCGTCCCATCGACTTCGTCGTTACTAGATTGATTGTGTTTTGGGCGAAATGGACGCCACACCACACACTAATAGGCCAAACAGAAGATTCAAAAGAAGAGAGAAGCATGGGCGCCGTGTGGGTCAACACAAGGCCAAAAACATGGGTGCTCCATGGTTTTGGTCAATTCGCCTGAGCACCACAGGGGTGGTCGCGAGCACAAATCGAGTTTCCTGCATCGCATTGTCACCGACAACGGAAGTTTATGCCTTTGCGGACATTTCGAATAAAAGTCGACGTGAGTGGGCAGGAACGAGCGAGCAACACCGGGAGTCAAGTAGGATCTTCATCCTCGGAAAACAGTCATTTGAGTGTGTTAGGTCTGTGACGATCTCATTCGCTAAGAAATGCCTTCGCAGTATCAAATAGTCGAACAGAACTTAAGCACTGTCGGTTTACGCTATTTTAATTAGGTTATTCAACAGAAGCAACCGGATTACCACGTTTCTGTAAATCTATATTATGACAGGACCCGACACACACCGTGAAATTCACCAAAATGGCTATCCAGAAGCTCAGCTGGGGGGTTCTGATGCATCCTCATTACAGCCAAGACACTGCCTCATCAGATTACCACCCTTTCTATCCGGTTTCAAACCATGCGCATTGGGTGACACCCGACATCGGTGAAGACCACAATAGCTGGCTTGAGCAATACTTTGAGGTTAGACCCGGAGGTTCGGCGAAACTGGATGGACAAATTGGTGCAAAAGTGGAGAGAAAACACTAGATTGATTTGCCGTTATTTTTGGTTGGGTTGCATATATTTCTGGATTGACGAGCAGATAATTTCTTGTCAGATCGTTGTTATTATGCTAACTAATATGTCTTGAGTTGTCAACAAGAAGTTATGTTTTTGTAGAACCAACGACATTTCCGGGCGATAACTTAACCAGACCACAGTTTATTCACTGGAGTGCCATGGTAACAGTAAACTTATTATTGGTCCACCTGATCTTTTTTGTGTTTACTAATAACGCGGTGAAAGCTGTCATTTTGGATTTTATACTAAGGTCGAATTGACGTTAGTTTTGGTAGAACAGCACTCTGACACGCAAGATGTAGTCCTAAGATGCGCCACATTTGACAAGCCAATAGAACACCTTCAGTAACACTTTCTTTGATATGCAATACGCCACAAATACCAACCACAAGGAAAGTCCAAGGGTCCGAACTATGCAGTTGTAAATCGAATCGAGAACGACGTGTAGCAATGAGATTTAAACCGATGTCGATTAGCTCACTACTATGCACAGTGGATAAGTTAGGGTGTGGGCGACAAAATCCAGAAATTAGACAAACAAAGTAAACATTTTGGCAAATGCTTACCGGAATTTCTACCTTATAATGGGAAACAAAGAGGGCCAAAGTTAACCTTAAAAAAACGGCCACAAGTAAGGGTAAAAAAATAAAACTACCAGCAAGTACTCCGTGACTCAAAAACAGGCTACTGCCACCCAGCAGTTCATAAATTGTGATTTTGGTCAGAAATTCTACCATCAAACTCAACTAAAAGGAACATCTGACAATTCCCACACCCTCTGGACCTGTAGCACACATATGATTTAAAATTTTAGGGAAAAGATACTGGATAGTAGCAAAAACTAGAAGATCAATGGCGCCGTGTGGAGATTCTGTTTACGACGACCGAGTAGAACTAAGTAGACACGGCATAGGAACGTGGCCTATTTGAATGCACACAACTCTTGATCAAAACCACGAAGCGTACGAGGAGGTGACTTAGAATATGTAACAAACGTAAACAATAGAATAGCTACGTCATCACTGAAACCAGGTGGCCCTATTCAAATAGTTAATTGGAGCCTCACTGAGTGCTCCTCTAACTCAGAGTTCTAGGAATCGCATACTAAAAGTGATGGTTGAAACGTAACCAACTACTGCGCGACCATTCCCTTGCAAAAAATGTCCACTAGAAGAAATTGGGTAGCTTCGGCCTGCCCACCCACACACAGGGCAGTTTTCGTGCTCTAACATCAGAAATCGACTGCACTTGTAAAATCATAACGAACTGATTAAGGAGATCAAAACTAATTATTTAAAGAAGTCATATCAAGTGCGCACTTTCAACACTTGTGTTGAACTCTACTTTGCCACTATACCACAGAAAACGAGCCCGGAGAAAAAAACTGCCCTGGGTGACCCACTCACACATTGTACTTACTCCGTTGCTATGGGATGATGCATTTTCTCCCTGTTTGCGTTTCACACATCTGCGGAAATGTGTCAACGCGTGCTGGTGGTAAGCACACATCTTTAATACATGTAAACACCCATACACGCGTTCGAGTTGGCGCTATGACAACGCATACGACACTGAGGCGAATATAAACCACTTCAAACTTGACCCGTCGTGATTGCTATACGAACGATTACACACCGTGAATACGCAGGTCATGTATACAACAGAATAATCTGTGGTTGTTCAAAATACGAGGATAAATGAGGATTGCAGCATACAAGCTGCACTACCAAAATATATCGCCTATGGTGGTGATTGGTTGTATGTTGGTCCGAACGAAATTTTTGGGTTTTTAGGCCAACAAAAGCTTCCCCAACTGCGCAGTGATAACCTTTTATAATCTATTTTTATTTGGCTCTAAATTCGCAGTTGTTAAATGCACGAGACATGATGCATGCGTTCAACGCTTTCACCCACAACAGCCAGATTTCGATCAGAGGTAGATTTCTCTCAATGCGACCTGACTACAACCGAGCGAGTGCAAGCAACGAGCAGCGCAAGGCATTAGTCCCGAGTAATGAGAACACAAAAAGCTCTATTTTCTGTAACATCGCAAATACATCTTTGTCTCAAAGACTGGAAGTTTCGACAAATTACACATCTGCACAAAGACACCATGAAATGTAACAATATGGAGGAAACCAAAGTGGTGGGACTAAGGAAGCTTGTAAGTCAATGAGCAAATGGAGGAAAACTATGGCATATGAAGTGAACTACTGCAGGGATGCTATGGTAAATTCTGGTTGAAAAGTCTAATCGGAGGTAAAAAACAGAATTGCAGTAACGCGATTTGGGAAGGGCTTAGTATATCAAATAAATTAGAGGGAATAAAAAGAACCAAGAAAACATGAATAATTGAATCTGAATACGCCGAATGAAGTTGGTAAAGGAGCGCACAAGTAGCTCTAAGTCATAAATCAGTATGGGCAACACTTCAAGACCACAAATCAATTGGTAAGATTGTTTAATTGGGAGCCTTAAACCAAACCGCGATAGCTTTTTTAAACAATGGTTTTAAACCAGTGGGACTGAAAGGGCACAGGAAGATCTTACATGCAAAGCAGATCTTGCCATCAACATGTCGGTGTTCTACATCTGGCCTTCTAATAAACACGGTGCTTTAGTCTGCTATCAGCGAGTTGTGTGCGACGAAGAAAAGTGAAACCATATCGCACTGAGTGATTCATTTGTGTGTTACAACAGGTGAAGTAAACGCGGCCATGGATGCTACCACTGGACTTCGATTTCAAAAATATGCACCGCAAGGTACATAGATACATGTACACGTGGGGAGATTAACACATACAAGTCAGAATTGCCATTCCTCCGAAATGTGGTTCACAGCACTAGAGATGCTGAACGTAAAGGTACATGGTTAGAGGTTTGCGGCAGACATCAACGGTCATAGCTAGAACTAGAATTTTGCGAACCCGGCAATTGCTTATTTGAAGCAGTTGCCTTTGCACTGAAGGGATGATACGGTGAAAATAGGTGAGTTGAAAGTATAAACCCTTGCTTAGAAGACACGCATTTATGTAATTGGGCTACAGCGGTGCATCTTCATCTTTACAACGTCAAGACAATACACAAGAAAGGAAAGACGAGGTCTGTAAACACACTAGAAAGGACTTAAAAGAAGACACAATGACTAAAATGCGTGCCCCCAACACACAAGAAATGCAGGACTCGTTTATACGCCTTTACGATGGTGGTAAGCAGCGTATACAGGTAAAACCTACCTTTCTCAAAGCAGCAATTCATTAAAGAAACATCAATGGCTGACAAAGATCGGAAGACGACAGGAAATCATTCATACTAACGGTTGCAATACTAACGACTGAGAATAGCAGAAAAAAATAAGTAAACAAGATTGATAAAGAAATGATTAGAACTAAGTAAAAACGAAGTAACCGGCTCAAAGGTAAATGAAAAAAAACGAATACTTTGTTACAAGAATAATACCGCATAAATTACAAACCTGAGATTGTAGACCGATGTCTCACAACGAAACGTAGGTGAGATGTCATTGGAAGTCTATGCAGGAAGGTAGCCTCTTCAGAGGACTTTGGAAAAGTTGATGAAATGAAAGGTTCGGTTGAACCTTCAGTGGCTGAAGTATCACCGTCAAGTAAGCCAACCAAGCGTGAAAGACGACTGGTGGGGCACTGCTCGTTGGACGGGTACAACGACCAGGGCAAGGCGAAGCGAATGAGCTCGTGCCAACGTGGTTGGCTTCGGAAAGCAGAAATACTTGAGGTATACAAAGTATCGCCTGTACTTTCGATCCACGGAAACTGTGCAGATAAATAGAAAGGAATTATGTTACTGAGGAAACAGGAAGCAAAAATGTGCAAGTAGTATTTCAAAATTAAACTAGCAGAGGGGGATTAAGCTCAACACCAAGCCCATGTATGACTTAACTAACTACATCATTCTAATCACTTAATCTGCAGTATACCAAGCACAATCGCATGTAAGTGGGTGAGATGGTTCGCTGGAGCGAATTTTTCATCAATGATATGAGCGCCAAGTAGATCAAGGAGCAATTCAAAACAAATTTCTGCGCAAAGACATTAAAAACCTTTTAGTGCGAAACAGACTGGAATTTGGTGGTTAATGTGCACAATTATTTACAATAGATAAGCTGATTAGCAAATGACGTGGTCTTAAAAAAATCACAAAAAGACCGTTAACAGACTTACAGGTTGACCATGAGGGTCTCGGAGGCTTACTTCTACCTCAACGTTATACTCCTTTCTTACTGTGGTTTTATCAAAACTGGCAGACTTTAGAGTCACAAAAAAGTCGTTGCGAATTGTCTCCGACCTGCAGAAATTGCCTTCGTCAATTCCATAAGGACGGGCAATGACGCAGTCCGGAAATTCTCGACGAATGAGCTAAAGGAGAAATGCGTCACAGGTTACGACACATCGATTGCGTTAGAAGTTTGAAGTATGAACCAAACACGTATTTTCCTTGAACACTGACTAGAATAGCTGAATAGAATGCTCAGATAAACTAAATGTAAATCACTGCTAAGCTACATCTAAGCAGAATATACGATCGTGACATTCACCTGCTTGATATACTAGTTTAATCTTACATTCAACCATGACAAGCACTAATTTTAAAGAAACAGTTCAAGTTTCGGACATTAGTATGAGCAAAATACTCCAACAATACCAAAAGATATAGTTTAAGCACTCAAAAAGTTGTATATCAATACAAAGGAAATAAAGTTAGCAAAAACACCAAAGATTCTCACGTGGTACGGTTGTAGGGCCAATGTTTTAACATCCTTAATTTCAATCTCAAGAGCTTCAGTGGTGTCAAGACTCTGGATGTTCGTTTGCGATGTCGGATAAGTAGGAGGAAGGACGGAGCCCATAGCTGCACCTTCATTTGGCTTAGGCATATTTGCTGAAGGCAACATTTCTAAAACGGAACTACGGGTCTCGGCTGCTAGCCTACTCACGACATCAGAATGACATGATTCAGTGGAACTAAAATTTTCCAAAAGAAAGTATGCATCTAAGGTAGTTCGTCAAGAGGAACAGCTGACAAGAAAAGAAAAACAATATTCACTGGAAAATGATACCTTTTAAATGTTACAAGACGGGAGGATGGAGGCGCAGATAGCGATTTTTTTGTTTGACATTCGGTAGGGCGGGAAAGAGGCGTTCGAAACGGAAGCAAAATCGGTAAGAGGTCCTTTGTTATGTCAACACACGCCGCTGCTAGGGGTCTGCGAAATTTTTCGGCATTTCCTGCTGACAAGTGATTGACAGAAGACACACTTTTTCCTTTTTTGGTTACTATTGAGCCGACTCGATCCATTGTGATAATCAGCAAAATACGTTTTTCAGACGGACTGAAGGGCCTAATTTCCTTTAAAAAAACACTGGGTAAGGTAGGCAAATTTTTTCGTAGAAAAAATTCAAAAACGTACAGAAAATATGACTGATGACTTTGGTTTGGGTTGACTACCATCGATAAACGCGTTCTCAGAAATACGACAAAAATCGCCAAAATGAGGCACTGAACATGAGAGCGTATTCAAAACCGATCCATCGTCATTCCCCCTCAAGAAATCAATGAGGTTACTGTGCACATTAATTAAATGCGAGTCCTGGTCAGATCCATTGTTCGTTGATACTGGATCAGGAAATCGCATAGACTGGGAAGCCAAATATAACGTAAGTGAACTAGGAGGGAAGCGTCCAAGCTCAATTGTGACGTTGTAGAGGTCCCGCGTTGGCCTCTAAGATTACAAATTAGTGGTAGTGGACAGGCAAACGATGTACCTCTCGTTCCTTTGTCTCTTTCTCGATTTTCAAATATTTTTCAAGCAGTTGGACACTTACGCAACTCAGTGGGTTTGGCAGTCGTATTTGCAATGGAAAGCACAGATGTCTGTGGCAATTTGGGTCAATTACTAAACCAACCTTTCGCAGAGTGAAAGAAATTCAAGTGCATCACATTTGTGTTTGGTCAATTCAGTTTGGCTGAAAGAATGCCACATCTTATCACTATGACCAGCCATTTCTTGTAGGTAAACTGCTGCCTTTTGTAAGGCTCGCTGGTCACCAACCTTAAAAAAGTAAAATCAGTTTGCACATCTACCATAAACATTTGCTGAGCGAAAGGCAGTAGCGACATGATTTCGGCGTGAAGCTCCGGCAAATCCGTATCGACAGGCTTTTCAGTGCAAGCAACAGGGAAAATACCACGAACTCTTGAAGCACTACATTTATATCCATAATACCATCCTGTATGTATAAATTAATCAATGGAACAAACCATCACAAATTTGGTCAACATATACCCAGTCACCAAGGCATAAGGAAATGGCCTTCGATTGTGATGGGTCATTGAATTTGGATATAACTAAAAGTCTAGCTAGCAAAAATGCAAACTAACTTTTTCTCCATTTAATTTTATCTGATACAGGACACCAAATCATGGCAAAGTCTGAGGTCCAAAACACTTCGCCCACGGGCTAGGTTAGGACAATTGGGTCAATAGGTCGCAAACTTGACCTTGCAAAAGCGAAGAAGAACAGCAGTGTAGCATTACTTCACACATAAATGTGTCGCACATTTTGGCAAAAATTGTTTTCGAAATTTTCACCTTCAATTTTCTGCACTCGTAAAAATGTGACCAGTTATGCTAGCCTGTCTGTACATTACCGAGTGGGACTACTCACCAGTTAGACAGGTAGGACAATGGAAATACTTTGAATACTGAAACATTAGTAATTGTTGAGCAAAATATATCATGAAATACCAATACGAGTGCCATCAGAGGGTACGTTTTAACTGTTTCGAATTATTTTTAACCAAGGTAACATGAAACTTTCTATTCTAGTAAAGGTCAAGAAAATTAATTAAAAAACCAAAAAATCATTTGTCCATTTTATATTCTTAGAAGATGGACAGGTTTATTCACATTGGTACGTATTAGTGGTCCAAAGTGCAATTAAAAGAGAGTCAGTGTATCCTCATTTCTTTTAGCCTTTAGTGAATCATATTCATCAGTATCTTCTGTTGTTAAAATCGCTGCAGCCTTGCAAAACATGCATAAATAAAGATTTTTTTCATGTAACAGATTTTTAACTTGAACATGAAATTCGCGCGCATTAAAACTACTATAAGGAAAATTGGTAAATATATTTGATTCCAACAAGAATTATTAGCCAAACCATCACAATTGATTAACTAAAAAAAGAGGATTCTGAGATAGCAGAGCGTAACCTAAAATAAACAAAATAGGCTGCAGTTTTTTTGCATTACTTCTAAAACTTGCTATGAATGAGGTCAAAAGAAACAACTGCAGATATAATCATCCACAGATCTTAGACGTGATTTTGCATAAACAAAACGTGCTTGCAGCGCTTAAATGGTTAAAAATTTTTAATATACCACAAACGCAGTCAGCCTCAAGTTATTGGGCTATTGAAATGTACGTTAGAGATAATCGGCTAATAATTTAAGAAATGATAATAGGCATTACTTCGTATATATCGTACCGATTTTAAAAATTAAGCAAAAAGAGAGACGGGATTGCTTTAAAAAATTTAGAGAATGGTTAGATTCTGGGATATCGCCATGCATGTAAAAAGACTTTACTTAGCCCTGTCCCGACTATCCTACTCTTACATTGGTCCGTTCCTAGGCAATGAAATAAGGACGGACAAATCGTGGGTAGATCGGTTCTCAATTTCAGTCGCGCAATTGAATACCCACGTGACGTCACGAAGCCGGAAGTCGGGCTTCTAATCACATGACGCCGCCATCATGTCGTGCCTTTCGCACTTGACCAAATGACTGAGAGCCAAAATGGCAGCTATCTGCTAGGCCGCTACACTGTCTTCCTGAGATCGAAGCGGACTCCAACTTCTCATTAATTACCACCGTAGCTATCTCAACCACGTGGTCTACCGGGAATGGTTCACATTACACAAGGCGTTCGTCATCGTCTCCCTCTATAGACGGTAAATAGGGCTTGAGCTTGTTATACTGGACGGTGGACACTTGACCTGGACGGTCGTCGTGACCATGAATTACACCCATCGCTTCGCTAAGGACCGAAACAACCACATATGGTCGTTCCTAGGATTGTTGGAATTTCCTGCCTTCACCTGCCGTATTCGTTGTAGCCATCCACCTTCCTTGAATGGGGTGCCTTGCACTCGCTTCTCATAATGGCCCTTCTGTCGCATATAAGCTGTGGCTAGCTGTGACCTGGCTGACTCGAAAGACCGACACATTTGCTATTGGACGACTGTAAGTTACTCGGAAGATTCTGCCTATTCCAGATCTTGGGGTAGCAGGAAACATACCTCATTACTAAAGGTTAATGCGACTGGGGTTAGACCAGTGAAGGAGTGCTCTGCAGATTTATGTGACACCAGACATTCTAATAAGACATCTTCTCGTTAATTTAACGCATACCTATCGAGATGCAGCCTTAGTAGGACCTTAAGCGTTCTGTCTGTCTCTTTGACTTGCCCTCTTTCTTGGGGTGCTATGCTGCCATTCGGGTTCCGTGAATACCTAACTTGCATAATCTTAAAAGCATCGAACTTTCAAACCGACTACTTCATCCGTATGAATTTGGCAGGGTACACCATGATCAACTACGCATCCAGCTAAAGACACGACGTCTGCCTTGCGCAGAGGTAGAGTTTTTACTCACTTTCTAAGGTAGTCAACCATAACTAAAATGTACCGGTTACCACTAGCCGTCTGTGGTAGGGGCCCCAATGAGTTCTAAGTCAAGGAGTTCATTTGGAAAATCCGCTGTCATGAGTTGAAGTGGGCTCTGGCCGCATAATGTAAAGGCTTAACCTCATTACAGCAGTGGCAACTCGTGCAAATATCGTTAGTAACGTAGCGCAAAGCTGGCCGACAATGTTGCCTAGGAGCAGCTTGCTCAAATCTTGCTAATGTAGGGATTCATGTTGATTCATGTCCAATAACCCAGTCCTCGCGGCTTCCAGCACAGGTCCTCCCTTTTCACGGCATTCCCGTCAGTCACGAGAGGCCGCTGGTTCATTAACCACTCTGCATGTCCCACCACCACCAATTCTATTCATGTGACCTCACAGACACCTGTGTTTATTTTGTACATATCCACTAAACCCTAGTTGTACACGACACAACTTGGTTGAGCGGTCTAGCAAGCGGTAGTGCCTTCTCCACTCCGGTCTTCTTTATTTTTGCGGGATAACATGGTAACGTATTCGGTGTAGATAGTCGCAAAGGCTCCGTCGTGGTTCAAGACAACATGCCGAGGCTCTCAACACTGGCCCTAGGTGAGGAAACTCACGTGTAGTTCGCTTTTGATTTGCTCCATAACGGCTCTCGGCACTACTATATGGGAGGGTAATGATTGGCAAACTTATAGTGGGGAACAACATCCCTAAAACTAAAATTATTCCATGCAGACCAAAGCACTTGCGCTTTTTTACTACTTTCCACCATCTCTTCTTCGGGGGCTTGGGAGAGCCCGTGCGCTGCCTATCGTATAAGAGACTTATGTTGGGGCCTTTTGATTGAACCGCTTCCAATTCCCAACTGTAATTTGCTCCACGGAATTAACAACTACGTCTGCCGTGAGTTCTGGAATCCTAGACATGGAATTTGCATTCTCGTGGTTTTCACAAGACGGTATTCTGTTCTATAGTTGAAATGGCTTAGCACTTCCGGCCACCTCGCAATAATGTCCAGAAGCTCCTTAAAGTAGCATAACTACCTCAGAGCTTGATAGTCCGTACATATCGCAACTTAATTATCAAGTTAATTTTTTCTTAGTAGGACTCAAAGAATACCTTTAAGGTCAGCATTTCGCGTTCAGTGGTGCATTAATTGCCCTCAGCCTTCTCCGAGGATCAACTGCCAAATGCTATACGGTGGTTTGAACCATCGATTTAAACCTAATCGCCCTGTCCACAATAAACGGAGTATAATCCTTTTCAGCGTTGGGAGAGGCAGGAACTGGAGGCGGCATCAGGTAAGCCTTAAGATCACAGAATGTCTGCTGACATTGCTTCGCCTATTCCCAGTGGCCTCCCTTCTCCGTTAACTTGTGCAGTGGTAAAACAATATGCCCGAAACTTTCGGTAAACCTATGGTAGTATGTTGCCAGTCCTAAAAGGACTATGTAGCTGTTCCCCGTTAAATGAAGTGTGCCATGTCCCAAACTTCTCCGACTAATTCGGGTCTGTCCTTAAAGACAACGTGGTCCAAAAATATAACCTTTGCCCTGAGGTGGATACATTTCTCCGGGTTTAGTTTTAGCCTAATTCTGAAGATGCTCAAAGACATTACTTAAGGGTTTGATGTGCTGCTTGGTATATTTTGCGTGGACGATTACGCCGTCCATAGATTTCATGCACTTATCTGGCACGAGACCACGGAAGACGTGCTCATTAGTCACTGAAATGTCACTGATGCGTTGGCTAGGCCAAAGAGCAAAGTCTCAAATTTGCATTACTTCGAAGGAATAACGAACGCGATCTTCTCTCGATGGGCTGACTTTGACTTGCTAGCAGTTCGACTTAGGGTCCAATGTCAGTGTCCAATATGTCTGAGCCCCCAGACTTCGCCACATTGCCTCCCCTTCAGGAGAAAATCTGTCTTTAGCTTCTGGCTTGGTTCACCGCACTGTTGTCGATATCCAGTGTTCATAAAATATCCAGTAGAACACTTCCCGCACCCCACATTTGGCAGGATAGTGGCTAAAGCAAAAAGTTGACGAGGGACCTTGCACTTGTAGATTTGCAGGAAGGACTCATCACCCATCGAAGGTCCTTCGTAGTTGCAGTCCAGCTGGCTTTCACTGTCCAAGTCGTCGTCGGCGAGTTGCCAATGCCTCTTCAGATGCAGTAGTCCTAATCCCGGGCAATGTCTATAGATCCACTTTATTGGACATCGGATGAACGCCATGACAAATTTGGCTGGCATTTAAGGGTCTTTGCCTCTGTTGTCCATAAAACAGATCGGGCCAGGGTTCGGCCTGCGTTATTTGAATGCATCCGCTGCCACCAATGTAGAATACCCGAGCCGTAATAGGAAAAAGAATGGCCTAACAGAATAGGATTTCTTAACCAATCACAAGCCAGAGCCACACGTCAGGCGCCTTTTATCCGC